AAAATGAACAATGTAGGTACAGTAGTATAAATATGATATGATGCGACGTAGCTTGTGTAAATGTGATGTTATTTCATGTATTTTCTAGTAAATGTCTATTTAATTTTAATTATAATATTTATATGCATAAGTATGTGAATAAGTATGTGCACAAGTACAGGAATAGGCGTATATATATATATATATATATATATATATATATATATATACGTTTTTTAATCTATAATACGACGTTGAAACTGCCTCGAAAAAACTCTTTGATAGTAATTTAATGGAAAATTGTTCTAGAATAAAAAATAAGAAAAGAAAAAAAGAACATGATAAATAAAGGGTGTAATAAAGAGGAAGAAAGAGTGAGAAGTAGAGTAAGAGGACCGAGGGATAAGGAGATTGAGAGAGATGCAAAGACACGAGGAAAATTAGAGTAGTTATAAAATCATTAATTTTTCATATAAAATATACCGAAGGAACGTGGCCCTTATGAAATTGATACCATATTGAAACCTACCATAGTGAAAATCTGCGAGATAGAATATTTTCGAAAGGCGTTACACTTGACAGCGTCGATTCTAATCTCGTGTCTCGTGTCGGAATATAATTTAATAGAAACATAGATAATATAATACAATACGAACTAGAAAATGAAATCTAGTAGTTAGTTTGTTCTATCATTGTATAAGTTACATTAATATCTATGTCTTTTTGCATTGTATAATTTTCATCATTTTGCTGTATGTGCAGTACTGAAGAGTAGGCCCATACCAATATAAATACTTGTTGAGAAAATCATATGTGAAGCTTTATGTGGAGCGTAAATTAATTTCATAAATCGCTCGAATGTTTATTTATTTAAACGTTATTTCAAGATTTGAACATGCACTTTAAAAATTCCTTTACGTCCACTTTTCCTGTTTACCTATACTATCATCTTTCAAACATTGAACAACATAGTATTAATTGATTATTATACATAATTTAGAAATCATTTATAAAAGAGAAAATCTAATTTACTGTTTAAGAAATATATATACGTAATTTGGAGCAAATATGAGCATATAAATATCCAAAATTTTAAGTATTAAAATATATGAATAAATTACGATGTATGTTAAATTATATAGTATTTATTATTCGTAAATAAGCACATTGAACATATTCATACAATATTTTTTACAATTTAAACTCATATAATGTAAGTATTATTTTAGTACATATTTCAGTACTTTTCATTAATTCAATATAATTGTATTCTAAAAAATCTATACGAACATTTTTATAATCAAACCATTAAAACTGCTTTATTACATAGTTAAATATGTTCAATGATAATAATGTTATAAAATGTACTATATATTTATTTTCGAAAATAGCAAAATTTAGCAAAGTAAAATATAAAATAACTAATGTCATTGGGAAATTTCGAACTTCCAAAATATTATACGAAGTATTACGAAGAGTTGAAAAATAAAAAATTAAAAATAACTGTAGTAACTAAATAAATAATTAAATAATATAATTAATATAAATAATATAAACTTATATAAATGATATAAACTTATATAAATGATATAAAATATTTAAAAACTCTTTGGCCACATTGTAATTAAAATACACAATATAAATATAATATAAGAATAATAGTAAAAGTTTCTGTCATCCAATATGTCGTTTAAATTGTGTTTACAATATATACGGAAGTGTTGATTGTTTATAATAATTATTTACATATGAAATCTTCATTAGTGATACAAACAATTGACTGTCATGAATTATAATTTATTTGTAATATTTATCAACGATTTCTATGCTTCAAGTTTTACCAATCTGTCATAAAATATTCTCGTTGTATTTATGTAGTTCGAAAATGATAGTCATTAAAAGCAAATTAATGAATCTTAGCCGAAAAATGATTGAAATTTGATATTGCAAAAGTACTGTACTTACGCTCAGCTTATTTTTATTCTATTGTTACAAATAATAAAATTTTATTATGCAATAAGAATATATAATAATTTTAAAGGATTACTCAATTACTGTGTTATATATTTATAATTAATTTATATAAATCATATATATGCGCTGTATAGGAAATAATTTTTTATATATAGACGATAATTAGAAATTGAAGAATAAGCAGCAAAAATAATTTTATGCTTTTACACAAAAATTAAAAAACATTTATCTATATATCATATATGCATATATTATTAATATTTGACATATATTTGTATAATTTACAAAGGAAAGCTTTATTTTTATTTATTTGCATTTAACTGGGAAACTCATTAGCTTCAGATTTTTTTAGTAATATCAAAAACAAAATCAGTTTGTTCGGGTTATGAGTGACATCATAAAACCGTGGATGCGCGCGCGCGTGTGTGAGTGAAAAGACTTCTTTATAATTTAATATTTGATTTTATGAATAATTCAGAGTATGCAAGGTGAATTTGTCGTGTTCGATACAAATGCTAATTACATGATACAAGTACATGCAAAGTAGCATTATACAAATATAAATCATTAATCTTAATGGTGTTGAACTTTATCGCACTAGAAAGAGGAAATTAATTTAAATAATATTAGTTTATCTATATTACGATAGCTTATATATTGAATGGACTTAAAAATTTAATATTTTTACCTCATGAAAGCTTAAGCTTTTTTTTTTAAATATCTTGTTTAACACTTGGCTTGTATATAAGGTAATATTAATTATAAATATAAATAAAATATTTGTTTAAAAAATTAAAAAGTGCAATTAATTCTTTACCATAAAATGTTTAATTTATAAGTAATTACTTTATATTAATATATATACATTTATATATTAATAGCTCTTATTTATTGAATCTTATCTTGTCGAAATTGCAATCATACATTTAAATTCGATATATATTTTCTACTAGATACATATCTGACAATAATTTATTAATAATTTTTATAATAATAAATGAATAAATAAATAAATGAATATGTAATTACATTTATTATGTAATAATTACATTAATTATGAACTATATTATATTAATTTTTCTATGAATTATATGAATCAAACATTAAGGTGAAACATAAATTCTACTAAAACTTTATAAATCGAACAGCTGATATATTCAATGTAAGATATTACGTAATGAATAATAATAAAAAGTTAAATATATTTTACTCGCGATTCGTTAAAAATTTCTTTTTTCCATAGCCATTTTTTACATTCTTATTATGATAATGTTAAATTTAATATGATGCATAAATGCATTCATCAAATTACAAAAAAAACTTGTCTCTCTTTTTATTAAAGTCTAACAATTATTCAAATAAAATTGAAAAATGTAAATAATTTTCTTTTAAGCGTATAGAAATGATAAGGACATAAACATTAGAATATAAAATGCAAAAATATTATAATTTAATTATTAAATGTTCAGGATATACATTGTAATAGTTAATGAAATTGATTTTTTATATTTATTAAAAAATAATTAAACTATCTCTTTTTTATGTATTATGAAGTATTTTTGAATGAAAATTATTGAATTTGTTTACTTATTGAAAATATGTTTTTATATTTTTATCTCCAATTGGATATATTCATCATAAATAACTTTAATATTTAATAAAATATTCGAGAAAAATACTTTTTTTACAAGCAAAATCATTAAAAAGAAATAACTTATGAGAATCAGATGAGTTAATTCATTTTGGTTTAAGCAAACAGTTTTATTAAATAAACTCTTTTTTAATATTGTTTTATTAGATGATAAAATTGAAAATGATTTATATATGTTTTTAATAACTAAAAATTATAAATTCAAATTAAATATTTTTATTGGTCATGTTAATTTAACTATTTCATCCACAACATTACACAATTACATAATCTGATTAATCCTAGTGAAAATAGTATGAAGAACTTTATAATAAATTTATCTTTTCCTATCATCTGCATAAATAGCTTTCGTCAAATCCCATAAATTCATCAGGCAATATACATTATTCTTTATCGAATTAAATGTCAAGTGTAAACATAAAGTGTATATTTAACTACTACAAGGACGTAAAGAAAGTAAAACGAGGTCATACGTATGTCTATTTCAAAGGCCAAATATTAATGGACTAAAGGGTGTGCAGTGAATATCGACAATGTTGTTTTGAGATAAAGTTGTTGTATAAAATACTGGTTCAAAAAAATTCTATAAATAGCACGTAAAGGAGATCCAAAAATTACTATTCAATATTAATATAGTAAAAAAAAAACAAATTTATAAACAATAGTTGTCGACGAATATTATGGATTTAATTTAAGCACAATAAATATTAAATATTTCTATTATATTAAGCATTTATTTAATCGTTCCAGCATGGGCTTAGATTTATCGAACATATAAATAATTATTATATTAAATTGATGCTTTCTCTATTTAATTAATTATTCATTATTAGGAAAGAATTCGATTCACTTTATTAGCTAGGTAACATATTATAATGGATATTAACAAAAGGTTTTATATTAATCTTCGGATGCAATTGATATATATGAAAGATACACAAAGGTAACAATAAAATGAGAATAAAAATAAAATTTATATATCCATATAAATTTTTATACGAATGGTATTTCTTCTTTTTTATTATCTATTATATATTTTTAAAAAGCATTCGAATAAATAGAGCTTAGAAGTTACATTGATTTTTAATTGATATAAATTTATAAACTATCAAGTAATTTCTTAATGGGAACAAATTAAACAGTGCATAATAATATGTTAAATATATTAAAAATGTAACCTTTCAATAAAGATACCATTTTTTTTTAATTCTTTAAAATAATCTTGTAATTAAAAATTAAATTAAATATTCTTTTATGTGCAATAATGCAATTTGCTTGTATATAAATTTTTCTACTTACACCGATATTTGTATTTTCTAAGTAAATAAGTTCTTTATTTATACAGAATTATAAGTGACAGTAGTTATATTTAAAATTGTAATTATTTATGTTGCAGTGAATAAGAATAAAATAATGGCAAAACTTTGTACTTGGATGATCGTCTTCTTCATTGTTGGGGCAACAGCAACAGTAGAGAATTACATGGACTATGGAAGTAAGTTTCAATGAAAGTGTATTCGTATATATTAATTTTTTGTTACTAAGTATTTGTGTGCATATGTCGTTACTAGACGTACTAGCATAAAAAATTTATATTCCGAAAAAATATTTAATACAATATTGTATTTATTTACTTAATAATTTTTCTTTATTATTGATACAGATATTATAATATACATATTGTAGAATGAAAGACTTTGAAATTAATTAACGACAGTTGGTAAGTATTTATTAAAAAAGATTTTGTTACGTAATTGTAGTTGAATCAAACTAATGAGGACAATGGATTAATGATTAAATGTAAAGTCTTATTTAGAATTTTGTATAATACTTTTCATAGAGTTACACATTTATTTTTCATCATAAATAATCATAAATTAATTAATTCGCTAAATAATTATATATGTACTTTTTAATAAAATAAGTCGATAATATTATTGAGAAATAATGATTTTCTTAATAAGTTTTCACATCGAAATTATAAATAATATTTGAAATAATCTGTTCGATTGTTTGATTAGTATTAATCTAAATCATCAGGCAAAAATTAAAGACTTTACAAATACATTGAATATAGAGAGTTTTGTTTATTTATTATTATAGTAATTATAGTATTACACAAATATTGTAATAAATAACATCTTTTTTTATTTGTTCAATTTCAATCACTAGTTACAGTATATAATTTTACAATGTAGAATATCTTAATAATCATTCATGCTCTTGGTATTCTAATTCGCTAGAAATTACGGAAGAAAAATTTGTTTACTATTATATTTACTCCAAAATATCTAATATCTAAATAATACATTAGAAAATGCATTCTTACCTCGCTAAAATTCATGGTTAGCTTCAATTGAAATTTAATTTTTATATAACAATTGTAGATATAGATTCACTATAGTCGGTTGATCGAATATACAAATTCTAAGTGACGTTTATTTGATAAAATATAAAATTTGGTCAAATATACTATTTGATATAATATAAAAATATTTAATGATGACATACGATATTTTATAACTTTTCTATAATAATACTGAAAGTTTGGTGTAGATAATTATAGTACTTTACTGGTTCACTTAATTTAAAAAGATTTCGAAGAAATTGAATAAGATAATCGATGTATTTTTTTATTCTATGTTTATATATAAATACAATCTTAAATTATAATAACACTTAGACATAAAGAATGATTATTTTTAATAATAGAAATATTTGAGATATAAACTTAACAATGTGAAAATTTGTTCATGCTTTCTTGATTTTTCTTAAAATATGAATCTTCGATTAAATAATAAATATGAAGTATTTAAGGATACTCAAAATAGTGCTCAAATGAAGATTTTATTTGTAATGGAAGTAAATTCATTTCAAGCATTTAAAACGTTGTTTTGATTATATTTAAAAACATTAAATTGATTAACTCTATATAAATTTATTGTTTGACTGCCATGATATTTAATAATATATAATAAAAGTAACATATAATAATATAATATATTTAATAATAAAACATAAAATAGTGTATAATAAAAGTTTGATATATGTATATATATATTATTTTTAAAGACAATTTAAAATTATTTTAATAAAATACAACTTTATAATAACAATTTTTTCAATTATTTTCATGAAATATAACTTATTATTCTTATATGCCAAATTATAATATATTTCGGATGTATCAAGTTCTATCATAAATTAATACTTTTTATTTAAAGGCCGTAGATGTTATTGTTTAAAATATATATATTTAAAAAAAAGTAGCATATGGATGCTTATTGATAGCCTAATTACTATGTTCAAAACAAGAATAAAAAGATTAATTTGATTAAAATAAATTATTTTAGTAATATTCAAATTATCAAATCATTTACGGCTTTGTAACAAGAAGTTTGTGATAATAACATGTAAACTGTAATGATACTTATTTTGCATATTTATTTCTCAAGCATCTTTTATACTATGTATCTGTTAATACACTTTGCTGTTAATATAACATGAACATTACATGGATAATGAAAATTAATGTTTATAATGATCTTCTAAAATACAAGTTTATATTTAAACAGTGTATGTAGATTATGACTTGAGTCGGTCGTTGCCTTATGAAGTTTTCGCAACGCCTCTTATGCGACTTTTATTAATTCATTACTCATCAGAATTAAAAATTAAATAATCAACAGTCCTTCCTTAAATGTTTACCTTACTGTTACTAGTAGACGATGCATCTGGCAACGATAAGACGGCGAATCTTCGGGAGCTCTACAGATTCTTGGTGCAGCGCAGTGCCGACGAGCCGGAGGGATTTCCGGATTTGGCAAGTGAACATTTGCAACCACGAGCCGTAGAGAGATCGCCCTCACTGCGTTTGCGCTTTGGACGCTCATACCCCAAGTATCCGGTAAGCGATTTATCTCCCTTTTGTATTGCAATAATGTGTAGAAATTAAGCTTAACGAAAGCGGCTAGGAATCAACATATTGTGCGTGATTCGAGATCCAATTACTAATATTTGCACTATTATATTTTCAAAAAGGCCTTTATTATAAGCGAACGCTTTAGCTTAAGCGAGTGCACAAAAGTATAATAATGTAAAAAAAATAAATACATATAGTGTGAAATATATTGAAAATTTAGGTGCAAAATATACAAATTTTCCAATTAATATTTCTTTTTAATGTACAAATATTTTCCAATCGCGCACATAATGTATATACGATTGAATAAATATTTCATTCGATTAATTAAAGATGAATTCAACTCTCGCGGTGCCTAGAAAATTTCAATTAAAACAGGCCGCTGATTATTTCTTTACAGCCTATCGGAATCACATCAATCATTAGAATATTCAAAGCGTGTAATTCAATGACTAATATTCCTTTTTAGTATGAAAAACCATTTTACAAATACTTTACGCTAAGCTATATTCTATATATTAATGCACCTAATAATACAAGAATAAATAATTTTTTTAATAATAACTTCAAAATTTTTTGTTATCACACAAAAAATATTCAAGCGTTCGCCGTCGCTGCGTCTGCGTTTCGGTCGTTCTTACTCAAATCCGGTGAGTAATAATCATAATTTTTTTCTGTTACTTTTTAGTTTGTAAAATGCATTATTTTTTATGATGACATAATTAATATGATTAAAGGTCATATTTAAAAATTGAAAGGATCAATCTATCTGAAATATTTATAAGAAAAGTTTGAAATTCGATACTTTAATACGTAATTTAGATATTTTTTTTATATTTGGATATTTAAAGTAAATTTAAATAAGTTACATATTGCGAACAAATTTAATTAATACATTATATTCTACATTATTATATTTATACAAAATATGAATAAAATTTATATAACGACTTTCATGAATAAAATTGTTTTATTTTATTATTAACATAATACGGGGTAATAAAATATTTTGACGAAAGAATATATATATATTTTTTTTTTTTTTTTTAATGAATTCAAGTAATAATTAATGTAATGAATTTATATTTATTTATGAAAATGATGGCGATATTTTTGTAAATTTTATACTAATAATGTATTTTATAATTTCCAATATTTCTATATATATGTCTCAGAATATTATATTAGTGATTAAAAGAGACTTTTAACTTAAATTAAAAGTTTAATCACAGTTACACTTCATTATATACGATTGTAATAATCATGATAATATGAATATACTTAAAAATTTGTACTCGTAGAATATAATTAGAATGCTATAAATAAATAAATAAATATATATAAGATATATTGAAACTTTCATTATTTAGTGTTATTTAATTTTAACTTCCATTTTTATTAATTTTTTAATTTTTGTTTTTTCTTGATAGAGTATTCTAGAAAGTATAAATTATTATGAAAATAATTTTTATATTATGGAATTTGATTATTTTTTCGAAATTTAAATGAATTAGTGAATTCATGTAACTTTGTAAATGCAAACATATTTTATAAAAAATAACGAGTTAATTATGGAAGTTGTGGTAGTAAATTTTATCACAACACTCCGTAACTATTGTAATATTGTATTTTAATGTAATTAATAAAAAATACTGTAAATCAACAGAAACCATTGTCAATGTATTACTAATTTTATAGAATTATTCATAAATAACACTTAAATTATTATTTTAGTTTAATTCTATTATAAAATATACTTGATTCATTAAAGCAATATATAAGAAAAAAATAACTGTATAAAACAATGAATTGGAAGACCCTGTATACCATTTGCTAATGGTCCTTTTTATCTAAACAATGTGTAAATAATTTCCTTATCAATATAAAAGTAAATATGTACTAGATTCTTTATGGGGACACAAGGACTAATGAAAGTTCATTTAAACTAAAATTTTGGAAATTGTAAAGTTCGGGAAAGGGAATATCTTGTAAAATAATTAATAAAATTCTCTTGTTATAATTATTTATAATATTGTATATTTAATACTTTTTATTCTAAAAGTAAGAGGTTAAAGCTTATATACAAAAAAGTAAAGAATTTACAAACTACACATTTTTTACAATCCAAAATAATTTTAATTCCTGTATATTATTTTATGTATTTCTCATATTATTTTTAACAGCATATATTTGATCTCATATAATTTGAAAATTATATTTGTTTAAAAACACTTATTCCTTACATATGATTGATGTTTTCAATGTCAATAATATTAATTTTGTCTATCATTAATAAAATGTATAGTATAGTTGTACTAGTAAAAGGTATTATTTTAAATAAAATAATTTATATTTAAATTGAATTATTCAATATATAATATATTTATGTAAAATCTAAAGGAAAGTGTCATCGCTTATTCCGTACACTAGTATGAATACACTCCAAGTTCCCCTATAATTTCTTTATGTAAAATTTCTCCATTTCACTCTCCCCTCATTATTAAATAGTGAAAATTCTCATCCAGCCAAGAAATCCCGATCATCCAAAAAAGACCCTGTCATGCTTATTTTTTTATTTAGAAAAGATTTAACTTCTCAGTCGTAACAATATGTTATACTTAATTTACATAAAACCATATCACTGCATTTGTATGAAATATTTTTCGTCTCCCTTCACGAGTTAAGAGTATCGGATATAAATTTTTCTGATTTACTCATACACAAGTGTTCTGGACGCTATAATTTTTGCTTTTAACATGCTATGATAATGTTTCTTTTATATCGATTTTCCATAATCCTTTGACCATAAGTTTATAAATTTTATTAATTTCCATTTCATTTTTTAAAAATTATTTACAAGTATACGTTAAAATATATTGCTATACATATTATTAAATATATATTATAACAATATATTATATTAGATTTTTAAATATACAACTATAATAATGCAACTTGAAAAATTCTATGCAGCTATAGTAAATATTTTCTATAATAAAATTGTTTTAATTTAAAATAATAAAAACAGATATATTCAATCAAAAAAATGTTGATTGAGCTCAAAGGTATTTTTTATCCAATAACTTTCCCATCAACTTCATATTAATTATTTATAAATATTCAAGTAATCCTAAAGCATTATATAAAGTACAAAATTTATATAAATCAACGATTGCGTAAATTTGATCATTCAAACGAATGTTTCCCGTAAATAATATAGATCATTAATCAAAACTATGTATTTCATTAAATTCATATAAAATATTTTGAAATACAATTTATCCATGATTATATATGTTAGAATCATAAATGTTGTTTAGTTATATTACGTTCAATTATTATTCATTTATTTAATACATTTGGAAAAGATGGATAATGTTAATTTTTGCTGTAAATTTAATTCATTATAGTAATCTATAACTGAAAATTAAATAAATTATGTTATATTTAACAACTTGTTGAAAAGGTGCAATATAAAAACTTTATTATTATTTATGAGGTGTAATTTTATTAAAATTTTATATAAATTATATATATATATATATAAATTTTTTAATTTTTTAATATATAAATTTTTCAATTTTTTAATAAAATGTGATAACGACATAATATAAAATATGTTGAAGATTTTTCATAACAAAATAAAAACAAAAAAAAAAAAATATAAAAAGATCAAAGTATGAAAAATATATCGAATGAAATATAAAATGAAAACTACTGAAAGCTTTTAGTTAATTGTAGTTAATACTTTAGTAAATTGAAAATGTAAATTGAGTTATGTACATTTGAATTCTAAGAATATCGTGCGAATAGATGAAAAAAAATTTTGTAATGTATTTTTATACTTTTCTAGTTTCTCATTTACATTTACCTCATGTCATAGTTAAAAATAATAAAAGTAAATATAAAGAAGCTTCATTCCTACGCTAAATACTCGATTCGCAAAAGATCCATCGCGATTAAGGATTAAGCAGTAGGGCGATGACACGTGCCACTCAGTTTTTTTACGTCAATATCCAACTTTACGGGACAATGACATCTGTTGTTCAACAGCCAATCTTATCTTCCTGTATATGCCGTATCTATACGTAAAATAACGTTCATACAAACTTCAGAAACAGAAACTGAAGTAAATATTTTTTTATATACTCTTCTTTTTGTTTTATTTAATATTTGTCTATTTTAATAAAACTGTATTTTAAATTATATTAAAATAATTACAATTAACAGTATCGATTAAAGAAATCCACCAATCATAAATAATATGCTCATGCTATTTTTTTACAACCATTCATATTACAAATCATACTTGTGTTATTAACTATCCCATTATTAATTATTATATTTAAATTTTAAACATTTTGTTATTTATAATTAACAATGTCCACTCAGATAATCAATTTATCTCATATAGAAAAAGTCTGTTGATATTTATAAGTAATATAATATTATATTTCATTACATTGAAAAGTAGAAAAGTAATTCTATTATATTAATAATAGACAGTTAAGTATTGTTAATCTTTAAAAATTAATTTTTAATTATACCAATAACATATTTCTAAAGTACTAATAGTCATAAGAACTATGAAATAATGATAAAGAAACGAAAATAATTCTTGTTGAATTTAGATCTAAATGACCACATCTATTTCTTTATAATTATAAAAAAAAATTTTCATTTTTTATTTATATATTCTATTATTATTATTTATGGGTTAAACGAAAATTCCTCCTGTAATTCTGATTCAATTTTATTTAAAAATAAGAGCTTTAAAAAACTTTTAGAACAATAGTTAATAGTGAAAAAATTAGTATTAAAAAACAAATAGTTAAAATATTTAAACAAATAGTTAAATAAAATAATTAAAAAAATCGTTTTTATTGAACATGAAGAATCCATGTTTTTTTTTTCAAGTATTTTATATATTATATTGACAAATATAAAAACACTATTAGTATTATTATTTCTATTTTGATTACATTACAATTAGTTTTGACGTAAATTTTGTTGTATTTTTATATACATAATTTTGCCTCGTAATCATTACTTACAAATGTTGATATATTCCAATGAAATTTATCCAATTACTTCATTTCTTAATTTTTACACAATGCAGTTCTAAAACATACGCTATTAACCACGGGCAAAAGGTCATGATAGATAAATATTTTATTATAATATCATTTATGCATAAACAATATGAAATTCTTACAGTATTTGTACTCATAAGTAAATAAATTGCTTACAATGTTTTTCTTTATTCAATAATTGAGAAATTATATAGTCAATAATTATTAAAAAAAAAAAAAAATATATATATATATATATATATATATATATATATATATATATACGTACTTTTATTTTATTATTACTCAAATTTACTCCACTTGAACCAAATTTCTTTTCAATAGCATAGCTCAAAATTTATAGATATATTATTATACCATTGAATAAATGAATATGCATGAATACATATTATTGAATACGCATTGGGTATTTGTAAGTAAAACACTTTCACAGTTTGATATTATGTAATAATATTATCCTTAAATTATTTAAATAATATATAAAATAATAATAATTAAATTAATTAATTGTACAAAATACGCAGTTCTCTACAGTAAAGATGTTTTATGAAAACAAAAGAAAAACATTCATTGATAATTGTAGAGTTTTTATAAAGATGTGTGAAGACAAAAAATATCCGTTATTACCTCAAGATGGATAAAACGGATGAAAAACACATTTTTCTTGTGCATTTGCAGGTAGGTCCGCTTTCGAAATTGAACGAGGGGGGATCTTCGTATACAGGGTTTGAAGAGAATTAATGATCCAATCACTCATCAAACCGGCAGCAGTGCACTACAACACGCCATCTTTTCTCTTTACAAAACAACCTGTAATTCTTCGTTTCTCCAAAACGAATATTGTATCCAAGATTTATTTACCGCTACCTATGCGCGAGCCATTTGCATCGTGCAAGTTTCGTAATCCTTTTTCATTCACCATCTTCAACATCACTTATTTATCTCTCTTTCTATTTTACTATCTCTTTCCAGCTCTATCAGTCTATCTCTTTCGCGCTCCCCCCCGCCCCCTCTCCCTCCAACCCCTCACTGTCATACTCTCCCACTCTAACTATGGAGATATGACAATTCAATGTTTGTATTAGAGAACTAATTATGGAAATTTATGAAACGTTGCTATAACAGAAATACTATACAGATAAAGAAAGTATAAAAAATCGAGATAAATACAAAAAAGAGTAAATGTAAACAATGTGAAGGTTATGTGAGTAATTATAAAGAACATACTTTATTAAAATTTTGTTTTATTACAGTAATTATTTTGACTAATATTATCATTACTTATATTATTTATTTCAATATTTCACTCTAGATATTATGTACTAATAAATAACATAACCATTACAAAAAGTTGTCTAGCCTAATCACGCAGACATAGATAAATTATAGTTAACTTGAAATGCAGTTTTCTTCGGTATATAATAATATAGAAAGAAAGGAAGAGATAAATGAAGAATAATCAGAATAGCTTAATATTTATAAAATATTTCTGCTTATTATATATATATATATATATATATATATATATATATATATATATATATATATATATATATATTTATTTATTTATTTATTTATTTATTTATTTAAGACATTACAATTGGGTTTATTTATAAATATCATAATTCAAGTATAGTCCTCGATTTATTTGTATGAAAATTACAGTTTATTAATGTGCCAACAGTCATGTGATTATTCTATATGAGAATAATGAACAAGTATTCACTTATAATACATAATTACTTTATTGGTGCAATTACGAGTAAATTTTATCCCAATTATAAAAACGTACATTTTAATTTACGTAATTACTAATTATATTTTATTAATATTAAGGTTTTAAATATAACACGCATATTTATAATATTATATGTCATTCGAATAGTAATGATAGAAAGTTAGAATAATTTTCTTCAAATTTCATTTAGTTATATGTTTAATAAAGTTATTTGAAATGGAGTTAAAGTGCGAAGAAAATTGATTTGAAATTACAATCTATTATTCAAAATGAATTACTGTAACTGGAAAACTATTTATTATTTTTATGTTATAACTGTATCAAATAATATTTTCAATGCGTCACAAATAGAAGGAAAATTTTAATTGTATTGTAAGATACGTTAAACATTAAATGTTATTTTTAATTAAATAATCTATTAAATAATTTTGTGATAAATTTAATTCTTTTATTTAAATATTTGTACATGTGAACTTAATTAGCAATTAATAATATTAAATAAAACAATTATACTCATAAACACATATCTATACAAATTAAGTACAAAATTACATGTTTAAGTATACGATTATATTATGTTTTATATTATAATACACGTCATATTTATATATATATATATATATATATATATATATATATATATATAATATATTTTGTTTATAACTTAATTCTATAATAATTATATAATTCTTGTTTATATGCATTTTATAAATTAAAATAAATATAAAATAATTTAGAATAAATATGAATAAATTATGGAACCAAATAAATATGGGATCTTTTTCATTCTTATTGTTCTTTATTGAATAAAAATAGTAAATCTTTTTATATATTAATAATTTTTATTTATCATACGCCAATGATCTCAAATATGAAAATATTAAAGAATAGAGTAAATATTTTTTAAATTACATTAATCTTTCATAATGTTAACAATTGTATATTTAATACAATGAGCCATTATAGTTTTTAATCAGAATTTCGAAGCTATTGTTATTATATATAAACTAATAAAAAATCAAATTATATGCCTAATAATAACGATTTGTGAAGAAATGAATTAAATAAAATATTTAATAAATATTTCGGAATATTCGTGAAATTGATACATTTATTTAAATTAGTTACTTTTCCATTGTATATACATTGTGCATACAATAAAAATTTTAACTCCAACCATGTGATTTACTAATCTCGATAATCTCGTATCTACGATCAACAATTCAAATTATTTGAAAATTTACAAGCATACGTGTATAAAAATAATAATACATTATTATTTTATAGTGAGAAATATATAATAAATAAATTCATCGAACTTATTAATTAATTTAGTAAAACACAGACTAGCTGAATAAAAAAGTTTCCTAAAATGCAACTATTAATTAAATAAAATCATTTATACACAGTTACTAATGAATGGGAGTTTAGTTTATTTAGGTTTACAATAATGCGAATGTTGATATTGTTCTTATTTCTGAATATAACAGCACTAATTAGTAATATATGACAAATGTCCATAATATATGACAATTAATCCATGCAAATGATAAGCACGAAGAAATGCTAACTCAATTTCAATTTCAATTTCTTCTTGTGAGTACTCCACTAGTGCAAAGCTGCTTAATGAAGTTGGCAGCCTCGCGCTCCTCTTGTTCCAGCTGCAGAATGTTTATAAGCTCAGATCTCGAAAGTACCTGAGCGCGGACACGTTGGCTTGGTATGGACATTGGTATCTCGAACATCAATTGCCAATCGATGTCCTCATAGTTAACTAATAACCGGTCAAAGGCCGTTTCACCGATGTGAAACATAGTGTGAGTGAGGGACTTGCTTGGAACTGAATTTAAAGCTGTAACATGTGAGTCTTGTATTTTTTTGTGATGCTTTAGCATATCTAAGAGTACCTTGGAGGTGCGTAGCAAATATTCGTAGATTATCTGTATGAATAGATATGTTGATTAATCTTTTTTTATAAATCCTCTTTTGAATTTATTCTCAATTATTACAGAAATCGTATGTTTAAAAATAGTAAGTAAAATAAAATTAATTGTAAACTTTAACGCTCTATTACTTTTCATTATCAACTTAATTAATATTCATTATCATTGTATAATAATTACTACACGATCAATAAATTACTTGATTATTTAATAAATTTAGACAATGTTATTTCACTATAAACAATGACTATCGGTATATGTGTATTTATCTAAATTAATCTACTAAAAGTTTTAATGTTGAAATTGAAATATTTAGTTATTATAAAATCATTTGAAAAGAGACATTTAAAAGTATTTTCATAAATTTCTGTAGCTGAATAATTTTTTTCAATCTTCATTCTATTCATTAATAAAAGATTAGCAACTGAATGTAATTTACCGAAAATAAATATATGCTTACATGTATATATATATATATATATATATATATATATATATATATAGATATATATATTTATTTATTTATAAATATCTTGCTAATTATATATTTAATTGAAAATCCTATAATCTTGCGTTCCTTCCAAAATTAAATTTCTGCTAACTATTTTTTTTTAACTACATTAAGATTTAATAAATCGAATAATACGAATAAACTAATTTTTAGGCTAATTCTTATAATGTAAGTGCTTTAATATATTTTTATATCATTTGACGTACTATTTCAAGAATTATATGTTTCTTTATCTAATATTTGGAAAAATAAATGATACTTTAGCCTGTATTCTATTTTTAATACATATAATAATAAAATTATCATTTTTTAATATGAATAAATATTAATAATTTTAATTATTAATTAATATCGAAGAATAAGCAAAATGAATGAAGATGATTTGTGTATTGAATTATCATTAAAATAATTATCGAAAGTAAGAGTAGAATTAAATGAAAGTAAATCATTTCAAAACGTTAAAATATATTTCATTTATCATCTTTTGATATTTTATCAAGTACGCTGTGCTACCCATACGTCTACGTGAAATTGTAAAAAATATAAACTCTCTTTATCCTGCTTAATAACGAAACGATATTAATATAAAAATAAATCGAAATAGAAATAGATTATTAAGAAATATTATTAAACTTCAAATAATAACATTTATAAAATGTATTATTAAAATATAATTAATTATAGATTAAAGCTTATATTATCCCCCTTTAAATGTTAACTTTCATTTCTATATTCGAAATTCATAATTATCAGTATTCATTAAATACAATAAATAATCTTGACTGCTTATCGATAATGATTTTTGTCGATTTGTAAGCTGAAGTTATAAAGTCCATACGCAAGCAATAAAGTTAATATATGTGTGAAAGCCAATAGGATGAGGTATAAAGGGTCCGATTATGCTGAATTAATTATTTACGTTAGGGAGCAACGATAAACATCGATCACTGGAAAATTAACTCACCTTCAAGGAACTGCGTCCAATGTCAGTGAAGCTAAGCTCATCCGCATAGCTTTCGATAATACACATTACGTCCTCGATTTCGGGAAGGTTGACCGCGGCTTTTCTCCTCTCCACGCTCTTACGAACAATGTCAAGCAAATCGTCAATCTGCGTTGTATGCTTATTATCTTCGTCGATGCTGCAGAGAGCTTCCGACAACGCGATTGCGGAGGCTGATTTGTTCTGCGAATTAAACGAGCTTATTTCCAGCTCTCGAAGTCGAACTTCGCTTTGTAATTGTTGATGCTCGACGTTATGTTGTGCCGTCGAGTCTGTTGCGTCAACTGATACATTAATTAGCGCCGTATAAAGTGCCGAACACATTACCTGTTGAACAGTTGACTACGTCATTCATTCGTAAAATTGGCTGTTGCAGGACTATACCGGAGCATAATAAATATATTTTATCGAGCAGCTTGTTTACTGAAACGATTCTTCCTTCTTATGTTCAAACAATTTTTTTTTTTAGTTAAATTCAATGATTCAATGATTAAGAGTTCTACTTGAAAAGTCATAAATTATTTATAATGATAAATTCGTGTGAAAATATTATTATTGTATTATTGCAATTATAAAGTAATATTCGTATAAAGTAATTTCCGAATAAATTAAAATAAGCGAGGAATATAGAAAATATAAAATTAACTAAGCGATACTAAATGATTAAAAAAAAAACGCAAAAACAGAAGAGGATGCATAATGAAAATTGTCCATAAATTTCAAATATTAGCGTTAATCTTTCATCGGATATTTGCTTTTACTATATCAACTAATAATATACTTTCGCCGGTATAAATTTTAATACAAATTTTATTTTAATACAAAACACTTCGGACGCTTCGTTTTTACTTTAGAGGCGAGCATTGTAAAATACTTATTGTCATAAAAGTAGCATTTCGTACTATCTTAAAGATTGCATTCAAGCCATTTTTAGCCTTATATAAGTACTTTAAGAATTTATAAAACTTGAAACTTATTAAAAATAACGACTGAGTTATTATGATAATGCTGCACATATAAATACTAATGTAAATGTCGGGGCAAATTTACGCGTTCCCTTACAACTTAGCTGCATGTAAATTTAATACGTATAAGTAGGAACTGAAATTTTATTCTCAGCTTACGTTCGAAATAATTTAGAGCAAAATTTCTATTTTAAATATACAATATTCCTTTACAGGAGAAAAAGCCCTACTCTAGTCACGATATTCGGATTAAATTAGACAACGCATAATCACAGCACTAACTATATTTCAGTAGACTTGCATATCTACCGTAGCTTCAATTTACTTGTAAAAAGCCCAAATAAGCATAGGCAATAAAATGAAATTGAAAAAGGAGATTGAATACCAATATACAGTATAGGGCGTAAATAGAACTCCGTAATGCGAAAATGTTCATCGGGTAAAGCCTCCTCGATTCATTCAGCCTAACTAAAAGTAATTCACAATTATAGGCGGCAAAATGCTATATACAGCTAACTAAATATCCGTTTATAGAATAGTGCAGTAAGAGCGTAAAAGCTACTTTAGCGAAAGGGCGGCAAACCTGAAGTAGAACGGAACCGCCAATTGGTCGGCAGTGGGCGGGTACGTTCTCGTCCATGGCAAGGGCAGTCTGGAGTACACCGAGAGGCAAGCACTCGTGGAGCTCGCCAAGGCACGCCAACGCCAGGGACATCGCTTGATAGATGCTTGCGCCCGTCTACGCACAAACATACATGCGAGGGTTGTGATGGATTAACCATAAATCCTCCGCGATCCTCCGCGTTTAATGAAATCGCGTCCTTCCACGAGCGCACCGGATTGTTAAGTCGCAGGTGTTTCTTTCTCTCTGGCGCTCTATGAATTTTATTATCTTATCGGTTTATCACTGAATCATATTAACGTTTTAGACGTTTAATTATTTTTGCGACCTGCTTAAATCGAATTATTCGCAATTGATTCGCAATATTAATTCCAGTGGTATTTATAGGCCGTTTGCATTTTGCACTCCGACCTCTTAATATTTCATAATATTTCTTCAATGACAAATATTCGTTATTAACGGTCTTCTTGAGATTCTTATAATTATAATATTCTATTATAATAATAATATTGTAATGAAAAAAAGAAATTTTCTATGAGCTTTAAATCAATTTTAAATATCAAATAGGTAATAGTGAGAATACTTGGGGTTGTAAAAATTTTCATACTTTAACTTAACTCTCAATCTTTTTCTAAATCACGTTATTTGATTATGTTTAATTTGTTTAAATTTATAAATCTTTTTTTTTTTTTTTTTTAATTGAATATTATAAATACAATAGAATTCTATAATATTTCATTTCATTTCTTAAAGCCGAGCGATCCTTATGTAAAACGTGAGATATTAAAATTTTAGACGATATTGCCGGGCTTGAATAATTCAAAGTAATTTTAATTGAATTCCACTAACTTTTATTGCATCGAGAAGTGTATCTACGATCGGCCCCATGATTGGTTGTAAAAAATCCAAAAGAGCATTAAGCCAAGGAGGTCTTGCTTGATTCCATACCTGTAACAAATATCGTGAAAAAATTTTCACAAATAATTAGCAATAAAAGTATTGATTTAATAATAACACAACTCAATCTGAAATTCCAGTCTTTACTAATTCTAAATTCTAAATTCTAGGATCGATTGAATTAATCATCCAAGTCAAAATAATAACAGTATTATGATATTGTATGACATAAATTCCAATAAATATTAGTTGAAGAATTTAATGTCTTACACTTCGTCATAAAAATGTTTCCATTCTATTTATGTAATAGCCAAGATATTCGAACATTAGTGCCCTTTTACAACTTTTAAACAGAAAATAAAACTATTTTATAGGCCCTAAAATATTTAAGCAAATAAAACTGTGTGCTAAAATTTATTTATTTTAATTCAGTTTTTAAACAGCTTGTATAGGGTTGATCATTATTTTGATCATTATATCGTTTCTTACATTTGCACAACAATTAGTTGGTCATAACGTAAATTTTATATTAATAATACAAAAATTAATACAAACTCATTTTCATCAATTGATTTTGTTATACATTTTTCTAATGTTTCGTTCTTATTTACGCATTAAATTACATTATCTAAACATAAATTTTACATAAAATATTTGAAATAAATAATGTAAAGGGAAAAATTTTTTACATCCATTGATATATATATTTGCAAGTAGAAAATCAAGCCAAAGAAAAATTATTAAAAATAAAAATTTCTATAATTTAATATCGATAGCCTACTAAATGTAATTTAAACATGTTTGTCTGCAATCTATCAGAATTAAAATCGATTAGCTTTTAATCAACTTAAAATCCTAAACTCTCCCATTTCAAAAACTTTTTATCGTAGAGTTTAAAAAACAAATACTAACTTGTATTACATATAAAAAGTATAATAAAACAGTATTGATAAAATTATTGAGTAAAACTGGTGTATGTTTCTGATTTAGTTGGAGTTTGGAGTGGAATGTTTTTTCAATTATTATTCACAATCAAATATTCATAAATCTGTTTCATAAATAGTGTTACATAATGTCAAGAATAATAATAAATAATTCAATATTTATCGATATCTATGTCTGTATTTTGATTTTTATATTAATTCTTACTTGATATATCCAATCATTTAAAAGATAGGTTTCCTTTTTTTTTTTAATGACTATAATTCTAACATAAATGTTCCATAAATTATTTCATTTGAGTATGCGCTGTTTTTTTAAAGAATTTCATCGCATCTCATCTACTATAGAGTCTCCGTTCAATTAGCTTTACATATATTTTTAATTAATTATATATTAACGATCTAATTTTATTACACGTTTAATTACAAGAAGGTGTAATGTTGATTAAGATCAATCCAGCCACTTTTAATACATTAATATATACAAACGTAATTATTATGTGCCACTCTGTTCCCCTATTCTAATAATTTATATTGACCTATCAACAGCTAATCGATAAGATATCATTGTTCCATCAGCTGAATATGAACCAGTAATCCGTAATCCATTTTCAAACAATAACCGATCTACTTTGTTTCAATTTAATTGGTCGGTGCTCAATTTAATTGTTCATAATGCTACATTTCACATACGATACGCATATTTATTTCTGATTCTAAGAACATCCTAATAATCAATCCTTTTAGTCTTTGAATTGGTTTACAAATAAGATTAAGCTTCTTAGATAAAACTCGGTATACTTAAATCATTTATTCAATTGGACTAACCGCTTAAGAATAATAAATCTTACTCGTTTTTTATATTCTACAAAAAGTAAATATATATATACGGTTACTATCTAAATTATTATCCTTGCTGAATATTTGGTAAATATACATTTTCTAATGCTTTAAAAAATGATTTGTAAGTTATGCATATGTAAATTTATACAAAACTTATTATTACTTTGATATCAAATTTGCATATCACTTATCGTAAAAATTGAAATAAATAATCTCGAAGAATGAAAAATAAAATATATAATAGGAAAATCTCTTTCAAAATTCATTATTTCATTTAAAGCTTTAGTAAATACACGTAAAGATAAAAGTGAATACTAATTGTTATGCAAATTTTATTATTGCATAAATTTAATTTATTTAATCAAAACTAATATACTTAATTACGAAATTTTACGTTTTCTTTTTAAATAAATTTTAGATATCTATGTGTAATTATATATTTTTATACTTTTGATTAATAATTATCATGTATTTTTTACTTTTATTTTAGTTTTTTAATTTTTTGCTATTTATTTTCTTTTAATTTTGTAATTATGACATTTGACATTATGATAGAAAAGATTTATATTAGTAAATTAATTTTGCTTTCAAATTATCTTATTTTGTTATCTTTAAACATTTTTATATTAACTAATCATATAAATGATATGATGTATTGACTACATATGTGCGTAACTGTATTTTAAATTACGTCTGAATAATCCTTTGAATGTCGCATTGTTTGCTAAATTTTGTCTGCTTCTGCACTTGAACTTTTCGAACTCAAATCCACAGTATAAATGATAAGTATAACTGAAATAATTATTTCAATACAATTAGTTTATTAATTATATATATCTTGATTCATTATATTAATGAATCATATGAAATATCTTACTTTTCATGCGCAAATGACAATTTACATAGCTCGTTTCACACTCTGTCTTATCGATTGATTTATAAATAGTCAAGAATTTATAGGCAATGATGATTACATATATTTAGAATTACACAGTAAAGTCATCTTGTATTCATAATTCATAATTCAAGTAGTTATAAATATTATGAAATACTTGTATTCAGCGATTTATTTTATCTTAGCTTAACCGAAAGGTAGAAGAATCCAGTAGTCGTGTTCACCTGTTGCCGATCGAGATAACTCGACCACGTGGGATCTTGTTTAATTGACGACACGAATACTCGCAATACGTCGCAGCCAGTATGTAAGAGAATAAAAGTAAGGCTGTAAAGCCCCATAGCCGGAGTAATTTTCATTATACGCCGGCACGAATTCTTCATGCAAAGAAAGCCGCCGCAATTATGTTGCTCTTTTTCATTCGTCATTTTTTCAGTCTTCGCCTCTGTAAATCCCAGTTTCAATGCGGCAATTCCACCGATGCACCTCTCACCCTTTGTTTGACGTATAAGAATAGTGAGCAGCAATTTTGATAATTCGTAATCGTTCATCGATAGCACCTGCGACATTTCTCAAAAATCATTTGTAAGTAACTTGGATTTATTCATGTTGTTTAAAAAAATTTAAAAATTTATACAACTAGAATCTTAACGATTTTTTGTTTTCAACTCTTAACGATGAACAAATTATTCACGATAAAATAATTCATTTTATTATTACAAAATAATTTATTATTATTATTTATTACAATTTTTAAATCATTTATTTATTTCATGAGTGTTTCATCTTATTTTTACAGCATTATTATTTTATAATTTGGTTACATGAAAAAATTAATTGATAATATCTCATGCATAAATAAATTATGTGTGTATGTAGTTCTTACGAGGTTTTCATATTTTTCAAATTATACATTAGCTTTCTCCTTTACGTTTGTATCAACTTAAATCTTGAAGATGCATTGAAAATTTATTTCTTAAAATTATTTTATCGAATAATATTATCGAATGATAAAATGTTAAAAATACTTTTATCGTTATTAAATACATTAAAATCATTTCAAATAATTTTTACTTTATGCAACTTAACATAAACTAGAAATTCAATGTGTTTTTATGAATTCTTGCGATTCATTATTCACAAGCAATATTCAATAAAACATTTCTAAAATACTCAATATATTATTTAAATTTGCATTTAAAATTGTCTTAAATTATATTTTGTTGATATTGCAAAACTATTTAAACAGTTGCCTTACTTTACATAATATATAATATTCTATTGAATTTTCATTCGTTTTATTAATATTTTTGCCATTAATTTTTATAAACTATTTATTGAATTTTTGTAATATAATGAGTGTAATGTAATTATTTACTTTCATTATTTGTATCCAGTTGGGCTGCGGCTGAGATGTTAGTACATTTAGCTCAAGTATAACTGCTTGATTTTCAGTAAGATTTTGAAATCTTTCGCACTTTGCATGAGATATTCCCAATAAATTTGGGCTGCACACATATAACCACGGAGATGGTCCGGACCCCCGTTTGGATATTGTCAAATTATCCAATCCTTTGCGAAACACCTTTGGTAATAGAAATATTAATTACTCGAAATTATCACATTTGTTTATATAAATGTAATACAAAAATAGTATGTATTAAAACTGTTCTGACAATAATAATCGAGGAAATAAGCTTTATAATTCAAGAGCAAAAATCTGTCATGCTATTATTTATGTACATTATTTATACATAAGTATTAATTATTTGAACATTCAATTAATAATTTAGAACAAAAAATTATATTAATATTAAATTATATTTACAGATTTTAAAAATAAATTGAAGTTTATTTAGAGAAAACCTCTTTATTTAAAAATACATTTAATTATACATTTGTAACAATGATTAAATTTTTGAAGCTACGATTTATCGTTTCATTAATTAAATTAAGCACAATTATAAATAAACAAATGTAAATCTTAAAAATATTAAATTTTCTTATAAAATAAGTTTGTTTTATAATTCATATATCATTAAGCATCATTACAATTGCATGAATTAAGAATAATAAAATAACATAAGATTTCTACAATTTCATTACGAAATCCTATATCATTTGAAAAAATTTTCAAATAATACATATTGAAAAATAAACTTCAATATTTTTATCGATCTGGCATTGTAATAAAATTATTTGAATAATTATGTAGTCGATAAAATAAATAGAATTGCATTTACTTGGAAAAGTATCTTAAGTGGTGCCCCTCTCAGCAAGAAGCAAGTCAGGAGCTCATTGCACTTGGCATGAATGTCGCGTATATAAGGTGATAATTTATTTACGTTTAATCCAATCATTTCGTTACCAGATGTACAAATTCCAAGAGATAGATAAGCGGTACAACATAGTACATTGAAAGCATCTGCCCAAAACTGCATGGATCGCGCTAGACTTGGACGACCCTTTGGTGACGTATAGATATTTTATATATTTATATATTTAAATATTAATCTTTTATATGATTATTTCAATATATAAACGATATATCGATAATTGTTTAAGCTTATAAATTGAATTGATATATTTTTGAAATTACTAATGGGTATATTAAAATTATTGATAAATTCATTTACGTTTTTTTGTATTTATATTATTTATACTTATGTTACTTCTGTACTTATATATATATATATTTATATATATTTTTATATATTTTTATTTTTATATATTTATATATATATATATATATATAATATTTAATGATTAAAATATATTGTAAATTTTATGAAATTTGAAATACAAAAGTTCAGTTTATTGTTTATAATAAACTTATACATATTTATGAAGATTGCAGAAAATTATTATACGTGTAAAATGTAAATAATAGATTAATTACAATTTTTAATACAAATTGGTAATATCAATGACTAAAATAAATTTTTTATCTATACAGAATTCAAATTTGAATTATTACAAGTCCTTTAATATAATTTAGTTTTCAGTATAATTTATTTCTACATCTTATGTCAGCAACATGTAGAAACTTAATTTATATAACTTAGTAAAAAAGTTAGTATTATCGAAGTACTAGCATAAGTGCAAAAGTCTTGTATAATAGGTACTAATCGCATTCATTAAAATGGTTAAACTTGTTCATTAGTCTGTCTGTTTTTCTTACATGAATAAACCGAGCAACAATTATGGAGAGAGACTCATTCAGTATACCAGAGAATATGCGTTGAGCCATTTTCGGAGAGACGGTGTTCCACAAATCCGTTTTTGTTCCTTTGAAATTATATTAGTTTTTTAATTACGTAGAACCACATTATGCGGTTTAATGTTAATTATGTATTCTTTTTCATTCCCTAAACATGATTTTCTAAAACAATTTTATTTACTCAAATTAAACAATGGCATTACAAATCATGTTTATGCTGACAAGAATTTAGGTAAAAATAATTTCTCAAATCTAATACAACTTTCTAAGATTTTTAATAATAGTATACTTATTTAAAAACAAAATAAGAAGAAAATAAAATACTTAATTATAGTGAATGATTATTGTTATTAAATTTTTTCACATTTGACGCTATTATTACCATAAAATAATAATATTTTAATTAGACAAAAAGTCTATTTATACCGTATAAGCTTGTAATGAATTATTACTAAAATTTTATAATTATTTATTGCCCAAAATAATGTATTAAATACGATAAAAAACAAAATCATCGGCAATTAATTAAATTAATTTATAGTTTATTATATATTTTTAACTCTTGATCTTACTTGATATTACTCGATATTTGAAACGATTTTTATTAAAGTTTATGACATAAATGTCAAAAATAGTGTATACCTTGCATATAAAGCCACCACATTTGGATAACATAGGAGCATCTTTCTTTTTCACAGAAAGGTTGATTACTTTGCCAATTCAACGAATCGGCTTCATTTAAAATATAAAGTGAAATAAGACGACAATGAAGATCCAAAAGTCTTTCAGCGACGGCCTCGGCCATTTCATTAAAAGACTTGTAACATTTATGTAATTTAGAACTAAAGAAAATAAAAATATACAATCTTAATTATTCAATATTACTTAAATCATATATATGCGTGAAAATTTTAAGATATCAATTATATGTAATGTAGCAAAATGTAAATATGAAATATATGTAAAATACAATGTTTTAAAATTTTTGAACTCAATTATATCAATACTTCGTACTCATTTTTTTACAATAATATTTTAATTTAAGATACATTTAAATGATTTGTGCTTATATCATTGTTAGACGTTTTTTCTTTGCTTATTATATAAATGTATAATTTTATACTTTATAATTTTACTATACTTTTTAAATTTTTACTTTTGTTTCAATAAAATGATAATATCAAATATATGATTATAAATTTTCAGAAACATTAGCTCAAGTGTCAATATCAATTACTAATATCATTGTTTAACTTTAATATTGTATACAATTTCACATTATGTTTCTAAAATAAGCAATTTCGTATTATATTGGAGCAAGCGCATTTTTTTTTTGTTAAAGTACAATATGATAATGAAATAAAATGTTATATATACACATAAACTTTATGCTTTTATAATGCAACCGTGTAGACAATTCAATTTTTTTTTTTTTTTTTTTTTTTTTTTGAAATTAAAATTAAATTTAATATATTTAACAATAAAGTTAAATAGAAAGTTATTTTACTGTACCTACACGAAATTCAAATAGCCATTATGGTGTTTATGAGGTAATACTAACTGATTGAAAGAAAAAGCGTACGAAGCACCACAAGTCTTCATAAACGAGTTTCGCCAGCCAAAGTTAAAAAAATGATTTACATATAAGCATTCAAATGTTTTTCACTTACTTTTGATTGTATGAGCGCAACAAATGCAAGAATAAATATGGTTGAGAAACATACTTGAGAAAAAATAAAATAAATGAAAAGTATAAACTCGTTTGTACTTTTACTGTTTAAGCATAAGTTTTTCATTTCAAAAGTCTTATTACCTATTACTCAAGATTTATGAAAATATTTAATGTCTAAATCATTCTAGGGCTTCTTATTAAAAAATTTTCTGCATAATAACATGAAATATAGTATTTCAATATTTTGCAATACTTTATTCATTTTATTTTAATTGTCTTAATTGTTTCCCCACAAATATTTATCAATTATATAAACTAGAAAAGATTTCAATATGAAAAATATTTTTTTTTAGAAAATTTTACGTACACCGGCACTATGTAATATTGTATATTAATGTCATTAAAAGAGATTAAATTCAGGAAACTCGATAAATTTATGAAAACATGAAATGCTGGTTTCCAAACATAAATAAGGCATATATACTTTGGTATTTTATAGTATTTGATTTGAAAGCCATAGAAGTTGGTATTTCATTCTAAATAAACTTTTACAGTATTATTATTCTTATAATATTACATAACTATAGAGTATTTATTATGAAATAGAAAATATAAAATTTTATAATTCTGAATTTTTTAATTGAAAATTGTCATAACTAAATATTATTCATAATATAGAAAATAATTTTTATAATTTAAAAATCATTTAATTATTACTATTAAATACACAGAATAAAGCCTATGTACACAAATTATTTATATATAACATATCGATCTAATTTAATTGATGATCTAGTAATACAGATTCATTTAATAATAAGGGACTTTTTTATTGGAAGATTTTTCTATCAAATTTTGTTGGATAAAACTTAATTTCATCTTCTATTATTTCGATAGTCTGAGGAATAAATCACTTTGCTCAAAAAATAATATCTTCCATAAATTGCAGCATTTTTCTATCCTTTCATTCATTTTCCTCATTTCTTTTAAATGTTTTCTCTCTCACTTTATCTATTATTCTCTATTGTTCTCTCTCTCTCTCTCTCTCTCTCTCTCTTTCTGTTTCAATTTTTTTGTTTCCTACTTTATTCACTTGAATTTTGTATATTTGTTTTATTATACTTTACCTGGAAGCTTCGTGTATTTCATTTTTAGTTTGTTGATTATAACACCAAAGACAATTACGAATAAGAGCTGCAGCTCCGAGAGTAGCCGTAAGTACCGTGAGATCTGCATGATCTAGGGATTCCTGTATCAGCGTATGTAAATGCTCTGTAGATTTAATTTATCCGTTTAATAAATATAACAAATTTTAATAACTGTTACTATATACAATCGTTTATTTAGACTAATATAAATATTTATTGCTTATTTTATTTACATTACCATTAATATTGTATCTCATATATTATAAAATACATAAATATAATTTATTAACTTAATATTCTTTATTATAATATGAACATTTTTTACCATTGTTACCGTGCTCTTTTTGCAACTTTTTATATCTTTCTAACTTTTTATTTCTTCTAATGAAATAGCTTGCCTTTGTCAATAAAATACATACACAATTTTATTTTAATAATCTGCCTGTCATATAATAAATTCATCCCTAATATATATATATATATATATATATATATATATATATATATATATAACATGAATTTAAGGCGTTAATTATCATTAAAATGTTCTCGCTGTTTTGTGCAGACAAAACAAAATTATAGAATTTCAATTCTTCTAATATACAATATTTATGTAATATTTTGATAATTTCTTTAAAATAAATTAATTTTTATTCAGTTTTAATCAAATACTCTATCTGCATCTATTTCTAATTGTAAATTAAAAATTACTTGCAAACAATGAAAGATAGAGAGAAGTATGGAATTGTCAAAGACACATAGTTTCCTCCTTTTAAATCTCATAAAGAATATACATGCTTTTTCTCTTCAACACCATGAACTCTTATTAAATGCCTATTCCTTATTCCGTTCATTTACTTGGAATTCCAAAAACTCAAACGATAATAGAAAATCAGAATTAAATGATAAAAACTAATTTTTATAAGTGTTTAATTTTATAAAACATAACATTTTTTTATGTTATTATACTCATTATTCTTAATACCTATATTTTGCTGTATTTTATATATTTTATTTATGTTATTTTTCTTCATATTAGATCTGTATCTCAGAATCAGAATTTTTTCAATTGATTATGTTTTTATTCATTCGTGTATCTTATTCTTCTATTTTATTCTATTAAAATATTTAAAAAGATATATTGCAATCTTAATTTTTGAAATAGAACATTTTTAAGTGATCCAACCAATGTTATTATTGTTTATTGAAGAAAACTATTATTGTAATTAAATTTCAATAGATATCCAGTTTTAATTAAATTTTATTATTAAATTATAACCTGTAAATTCTATATAATATATTGTATAATTTACATATATAATAATACATAAACTATTGATACATCAGCTATTGATAGACTATCTGGAATTATAAATAAATATACACGTACGCGCGCAAACACACACAAACAAAATATATAAACCTAAAAGTTACTTTAACCCTCTCCTAGCTTTATCTTAGTTTGACAGTTTTTCGCTGTGATGTCAGTTATTATAAGTTTATATTATTCATTTTTTTTTTTCGTGATCAATTCACTTTTCTTGTATAACAAAGAGCTATCTTTACATTCATGCAAGTTAACCCCACTTTTTTTCAATTATTACTGTATTAAATACTAGATAATGGCGTACTTCTTGCTTTTGTTAAATATGAATATTTTGTTTTTTTGTGAAATTTATTTTGACTTTAATAACAAATAGTTGCATTTGTAAAGATAACGTCAATTAGTCTGTGATTTAAAATGCTATTTTACTTTTTATTTCTTCTTGTCACTGTGCTTAAGGATTTTTCGTTTCAAAACCTTCCACAAAGCTCGAAAATATCACTAACGACACAGTACTTTTTTTTAAAAGACTATTATTCTAATTATATTTTACTATTATTTCATTTTTTTCTTTATTTTTACCTAATTGTTATATATATATATCATAAATTATTCATTGTTTATTTTTTATGAAATTCCAATGGTCCTTCTATTATATTGATTTTTATTTATTTATAAATATATTTTTTAACATGATTGTATAATATATGGTGGTGTAAGATTTTATATACTCTACCTTAACATAGTATTGATATTTTATTCCATGAATTTTTTTCTATTGATTTTGTATTAAAAGTTTCTCAAGAAGTCACCGATTAATAATACAGGACTTTTCTACTACTAAAAGGGGAATTTTTTTGAAGGTCTTATTTGTTTATTTTATCAGACATTTTATGAACTTTATTCGGTATATTTGGATGTTCACTACGACTATTTATATCAAATAATGATCTCAACGTGGACATACATGATTGTAGTACTGTAAATATTTGTCACTTTTTCGATTTCTATTTGGTTAACCCCTTGATTAGTAGTAAACTCATATATTGTTTTAAAAGATTATATTTTTGCACATTCTTGATCTATTTTATCGTTGATTTACTTAATATACTCAACGTATGACTCATAATAATACCATAAGAAATATTAAACTATAATAATAATTTTTTTACTGAGTTATATTAATTTTTTATTATAGTGGAACTATGATAATAAAAGTAATTGTTAATAAAATGCTGATATAATTAGTAATAAAAATTGTTCTAATAAAAAAGAAAAATTGTTCTTCTGACAAATGAATAATACTGTAATTTCGCATAGAGAAGAATCCCTCAAATTTAATCCCTCGAAGGTTTTGAAAAAAATTTGAATCTTTATCATTTTATCATTTAAGTTAAAATCTTGTTATAGGACTGAATTACTGATTCCATACAATTTTTAACTGTTATCATTCAACGGTTGCTGTTATAATTTATGACGTTTTATTTGCATATAATATTAGGAATTATTGGTTTCTGTGCTATTTCTTTTATTTTATTTATGTATTATATTTACGTATTTTTATTTTAGCATACTCAGTGATAATATAATTTTTGTTTTTTTTTTTATTAGATCGCATTTGTAATAATTAGTTGAATATATTAATTTTTAATTATTATGTATTTTATTATGTAATTCACTATTAATAATCTTATTTATATCGTATTTAAGTATTGATATAAATTGCTATTTATATGAATTCCTCTTTCAATTTGATTTTCGTAAAATTATTAGTTATATCCTACCAATCTATCCTACTATATTATCAATTGTTGTTATTTAATCGCATGTTATTTATAAACACAATTAAATTTTCTTGATTATATTGTATTATGTATAATAATGAAAAATTTTACATTTTTGTCAATTCATATTTCTCTCATAGAGTATTTGCTTCATTATAATATTCTTCGGCTTCATGAACCTTCAGAGCATGGAACATTCGACACACCACATATGTGTAACAATAATCTTGTTCATACTATATGGTTTTTCAGAAAATTCATGCATCATAACTTTATGTTTTAATTGATATCTCATATCTCTTAGCTTGAAGTGTATCCATCGTATTGTTTTGGTTTTGGTTTAATATATAATCAGGCCTGATTTACGTATTTTTTTTTTTTAATTTTATTCGTAAGTCTCTATTGATATTAAAAAAGTTAAAAGTACGAAAAACAACCAAGGAATATGTTTTACCATTATATTACTGTTTATAAGCATAATTTTTCTCAATAATTTTTTTAAATTATATATATATATATATATATATATATACCACAAAAAGTAATATAAAGCATAAAAAGTATATATATGTATGTAATTTACTCACAAAAACATTATTTATACCTATGTATACCTTAAAATATTGAATATGGAGGCGTAGTAGAATTTAAAATATTTTTTAGAATTAATTACATGGAACTAATTTTACTTATAATTGCAATTTATCCATTGTTTATATAAATTTTAATAGAACTGAGCTACAATTTCAACATTAATATTACATTTATATTACATAACATTTATTATATGATCTTTGCAGTATTACAGTAAAACATAATTAAAATTATTGCATAATAAACTTAAAAATTAAACCAGTTATTTTAATGCTCTTTTATAAAGTAGAGTTTCTAATAATATTAGCGAGGTTTAATTAATTGCCAAAGATACTGACTTTGTTATTATAAGATAGCAATTCCATCTATTTTTATTTTAGATAAGAATAGATATGTTATTTGTTATTTTTATTTATTAATAAATAAGTTAGAATTAAATGTCAATAAATAAGATATTACATGCTATATTTCATACATACCTAAGAGCTGTTCTGACGTTTCAACAACTAACAAAATGAATTCACTCGGTAGAGTTTTTTTAACTACTCCACTATCATTATCGTTTTCAACATTATCTTGATTTCCTGAACTTAATCCTGATGGACGTTTAAAAGCCGCCATGAATTCAGCTTCCCACCAAATTACGATTTTGATTGCAGCGAATGAGGCATGACGCGGAAAGTCAAATTTCCCACCGCATACTCTAATACACAAAGGTTCTCGTAAAACTGTCTGCATATCCTAAAGAAAAATGTCTTTTTTTTCGTATTAATGAATTATTATTTTATGATTTATTTGTAATTAATTGATCACCTATCAATTTATATTCTAAATTACATATATAGCACAAGCATATTAATAGATTGAATATTATATATTGAATGATAATGTTGAATATTTTATATTATACAATATATATCATTTTTAAGAAACTTTTAAACAAATTCGATATCAATTGATAATATAATATATTGCAAAATTATTTTTTGTAAAAGAATATTTACATAAAGAATTCAGAAAGTAAGGCTATTCTCTTGAGATTAAACAAAGCAATAATTATTCTTAATAGTTCTAATATATATTCTAGTATTGTATCTACATTTACAATATAAGAATGAATTGTAACAATAAATTTTTAGGAATTTTAAATGAAACGAAGCAAAACTTATAACTAACTTCACTTTTATGCACATATTTTCATAATACTTGGCATTTTTAATTAATTGTCTAAAAATTTTAGTACTTAAACATTTTAATATTTTCAAAGAAGTATAAATTCTTTCATGATTTCTACCAATTGTTAATAATTCGATTTTATCTTTATTTTATCGTAAATTCTTAGTAAATAATTAGTTTTAAACATAATTTACATGATATTTATAAAATAATATTCAATAATTTAAAATATTATAGTCAGTGCCTGTACAGTTGAGAAAGGTTAAAATTATCAGAAAATATATTTAAATATTTACTACTTGTATATTATCTACATATATAATGAAATTTGAATTATAATTTGATAATATCAAAAAAAAAATTCATTATTTAAAAAATTCGAATATTAAATACAAAATTTCTTATATGTTTTTGTTGATCATTATTTATAAAATATTTTTATTCATACTATTTAAAATGTTTAAGAAAATACGGTACTATCGATGCAGTTTATAAAAATTAAAAAAAAAATAACAAAAAGTTATACAACGTTGTATAAGCAATTGTGTGAAAAATATTCATTATGTTCATTACGTATGCCACAAATTCTTTTTATTGTATGTGTGTGCAATTAAATAAAATAATATACATGACCTTTTTTTATCTCGTAAAATATATAATTCTAGGGATTATATAATGAAATAAGGACTATTGCAAATATGTACTTTAATCTCTGCAAAATCTATTAAAATTAACTTTTTTCATACAAGTGCAAAATTTTCATTTATAATGTATAAAATGAATGTTCATTAATAATGATATTATTATTTAATCGATTTCAATAAATTAATATAATAATCAAATAAAAAATTTTGATTATCTTTTAGAATTATTATTTGATTAAGTAGTTAAAATAAAATTAATAATAATATTCCAATGTAAAAAACATAAAATGGTTAAGTTAATAGCAAGAAATGTTATTTATAACGATCAAGATATTCTGTATAATAGTAAAATTCTGTACTGTATAATATTATTGTAATAGAATAATGTTTATTTATGAACATGTACTGGAATAATCAAGAGGATGTATTTATATGATTAATAAAATTTCATTCTGCTAATTACTGAAACAAAGTATGAATAAAACAAGAGGAATTTACTAATTTTTTTATCAAATCTTATACATCGTTTTTTAGCAAGAAAATTCTGTGAAGAACTGAAAGCGAATCGTTCATTTGAGTGCTTCTCCAGTCCCTACGAGAATGTAATGGAAAATTGGAGCGAAGATCTTGGTCGGATCCTCGAGGCGATCGAACGCTTGTGCAATGTTCATCGGTGCGTAGAGATGAAGGGAGCTTACTCAGCTTTGCTCGAGGAAATGGATGGGGAGACAGTAAATAGGTAGTTGATATGATTTTTTCTCTACGCACTCGCCATTCACTCAATCATATGGTTTGGTTTATCCTTAGGAGGCGGGTGGGTCAAGGAAACGGTATCTTGATTGACGTACTGTAGGATGTGATCGTGTTAGCTGTCAGACGTGATATTTTGCCCCTTTTCGTGCTCTATTTTATGAACATATGCCAAATATATTACCAAATTCGACGATATACAAAATCTATTAACAAATTATAAAATATGATACATAAAAGCTGTAATCAACTATTCTTAAGACCACGCTCTTATTAAATCGAAATATGGTATATTTATGTTATAAAGAATCAGGAACAAACAAACAATGAATAAGTTTTTTAAGCCACATTTTCATCGTTAGGTAAATAATAATATTACGCAGCAAATGGCTCAGTCTATCAACGTCTATTTACAAAAGGTTCGCATAATCGCACACATAGATTTTACGATAAAATTAATTATTCTAAATAAGGAATGGTAAAAATATACTAAAAAAATTCAAAATTATCTTGTTTTAAATATAATCAAAATAGAAAAACACCCATGATTCGGATGAATTATTAATTATTCCTAAAATACATAATATACAATAAACTACCACTAATAATTTAATAAAAAAATTTTTATAAGTTATATTTTATAAATGTTATTATTCTTACAAATAACTTGTTATAATTAATAAAATACTCACACAGAATCTATATATTAATTTGATTAATACTTATAATAAGATTAATATTAAATCAGAATTTCAAATACATCAATATGAATATTAGTAAAAACATAAACTAAAATAATTCAATTAGAAAAAAAATATTAATATTACCCTTGAAATATTTTATTATTATAAAATATATGTTTTTATAATAGTTATTTTATACTATTCTATGTCTTTATAAAATTCTAATCATTTATATTAAATTAGTGATATTTAAGAATAAAAACTATCCAAGTTGAATTTTTCAAGGTAGTTAAATAAATTTTACAAAAAATTGTAAAACAGTTAATGAAATCAATTTTTATCAGGTTAAAAATATTTATTTACAATATATGACGATATAATTATAATGATTATTGAGAAAAATTTTCGGATCAATTGTCTGGAATATAATCGAAATATATTGAAAATATTTCAATTATTTAAATCATTTATAAAGCATATGAAGAGATTTTAATAAGTAAAATATGTTAAATTGTATATTGTGTGTATATAAATGTACGTATAATTTCTTAGTTATTTTATGAAAATTTATACATTTTAAAACTTAAAATTTATAATTATTATTCAATAACAAATATAAAAAAGAATTTAAAATGAATATATAACTTAAAAATAATTTATGTTTTATTTTATTGTTTAATTGTATTTTCTAAAGAGTAGTAAATCAATAAGTATATTTGTTTTTAAACGTTTTATAGTGTTTATTATGTATTAAAGATTGATTAGCTTTATCTAGATTATTATCTAAATCTAATGTTTATGTTTGCACTTTATTCATCAGTTTTTTTCTTTTATCATTTATTTTGATAAATTAATGCATTACTTATCGTTCCATTCCAATATTTATGAATATATTGTTTCCAATATTGCTCTAATCATTTTCGTCCGATGTAATGAAATATACGTGTGAAGATTGATATTTTGCGTGTGATTATTCAAATGCCGTAATAGAATGATTGCAGTAATTTTATGAAAACATTTATGTCGCACATAATTATATTCCGTGCGATATAAATTTAATATAATCAACAAAATTGTATAAATATAACTTGTTTTAAAATACAAGATTATTAATGATTTACCTGATAATATTGCATATCACGCTGTAGAAGGATCCTCACGCGATCCACCAAATTTCCATCTTCCATAATCTCCATATTCACCTATTGATTAACAATATTTGTATACACATCAGATCAATATCAATCACATTGTATTTATATATGTTTATTTTTAATTATAAATAAATTCTAAAGACCATAAGATAATTGCCCATTAATTAAATTTATATATGTATTATACAAATAATAAAAAAATTGTATTTGTATCTGGAATAATATTTTTATTGATTATCATATAAGTGAAAGTATTTTTATATTTTGCTAAAGATATAAACATATCAAATTTTTATGTTGTGAGAAGAAATTTATAGAATGTGATTTACTATTTTATCGTTAAAAAATTTTTTATAAAAATATTTTGACGCTTGATGTAATATTTTATTTAAACACTTAAACATTACCAAAAACATTGTCAAATAATAAGACAGTTTCAAGAACAAATATATGAATTATTATCAATTATAAAAGTACAATGATGTATAAATCGAGAAATTCTCGTATTCTTAGAATATTAATATTTACTATTTTTAAACTAAATATTTCATGACATAAATAATCGTTTAAAGCAGTTTAAAAAAACATATTTTTTATTCACACTTACATTTACAAAGAATTTATACATTTATTTGTATTCTGAAGCATATTTTACAGTATTTTAAAGTAATACTATAAATAACCTTTATAATATGTACAAACATAATTTACAGGATATCAGTGTAAATGATATTATTTAGCCTTAATACTATATGAACATTCATCGAATGAAACCGAAGACTTAACGATATTAGAAATTTCTTCGTTCAATAGTTCATGTAATGCTCTTCCATCATGTTTGTATATCCATGACCCATTAATAAAGTCATATCGTTTGGGGCCAGACGTTGGAGAGGATAACCAAATTTGTTGATTTGGAATTTGACGATTAATAACGTACGTTCCATAATCGTGTCCAAATTTTATTGTTAGTACTCCATCCTGCAAGTAACAATGACAAAGTATCGTATTACATATGATTTACCAAAAATAAAGAATTAATATTAATACTAACACCATATGATACATCAGCCTCCTGTAAGTGTGTGGTTTCTTCAATAATTTCATCAAATTTTTCAGATAGTGATTCTAAAGTTTCTGTAGAAACTTTGTCAAAATTAATTAACCGAATATTTCTATAATAAAAATAAATATCTAATATTTACAAAATCTATAATAATAAAATAAATAAAATCTGTGCTGAATTACAAACATTGTGGTATAATAATTTATGATTCTCAAAGAATATAATATATACTTACATCGATTGATCCATTACAAAATTTACTTTTATAAATAATTGTACACTTAAAACACTTATTTACATAGAGATTAAGTAACATGTAAAATTAAAGATTAATATGACATTAAATTATATTAAATAACTTATATTATTTATAAAAATTATAAACTATCATATTAACATCAATTATCGAACTTAAAATCTGGTTGTTAAAACAAACGATGTTTGATAAAAAGTTGTATGAAATATCGATGATTTATCTATTTATATAATGTAATTTATGAAATAAATTTCACTGTAAAATATAAATGTAATAGTAATAAACGAGCCACAATGTTCGCAATATAAAAATTATTATGGTATATATAGAAATCCGTAAAGAAATATTAAAAGAATATATTTTATAAACATATTTTATAATCACATGAAATTAAATTTATGTAATGAATAATACAATTACTTACTCTTCTGTTGAAAATCTTCTACGAACACGAATGTTTAATGTTTCTATTCCAAACACTTCTTTTTTATTTGTTTCACAAAGTGGATTTTTATTTTTATTATGACATGTTAAAACATAACCTTTTATACACGCTGAGTTTATGTTCTTATAATTACGAAATATAAATCTTTTTGATTCTTCTAATGTAAGCTTAATGATAAATATATTAGACCTTAAGCTCCTGGTTATTAAACTAATCATTGTTTAATCAATAAGTTATTGATCAAACTTTACTTAAAGGAACAATTGCGGCTTTAAGAATATATACTTTAAACCATTTAGTCGATAAATTAGTATTCTACATTAAAACTCATTTGGTAAAAGAATATCGACCGTTCAATTTTATATTCTAATTTCAATGCAGCACTCGGCAATAGGTAAATAATAAAGATTTTATAATTACTTGCAATAAAATATTTGTTGTACGAACGCATTCATAATTGGTAATTAAAATTAATAGATATTTACAATTATTTGCTGAAAATAATTTGATATAAGCTACTGAAATGCTTGAAAGAATGTCATAAAAGATTACAAATATAACCATATAAAAATATAATAAGTCTTATTTAGAAACATATATAATCCACTTAAATAAAAATATAATTAATATTGGTGTTAAAATGGTACATATTAAATTTTCATTTATGTTCAAATGTATTTAACCGATGTTTTTATCACACAGATACTAGAGTTTTATTGAAAAGTCAGAATTATAAATAACGTATTATTCTTTTTTAATTATATGATTGTATAATATTCAATTGAATAAAATCCATTTACTTTGTTTCATAATTAAGAATGCACTATTATGTTTTGAAATATTGGTTAACGTACAAAGTATTCGGATAAAATAATTATTCACATATAAAAATATTTTTTATCGTTTTGCATTTTAATTTAATTAACTGTTTATTTAAGATAAAATCTTATATACATTTATATATATATATATATATATAAAAGTTTGTGGCTGATATAGTGTTTCCAGTATCTAACATTTACGTAAATTTTTATGTAACTTTATATTACACATATTTAAAATATCTATATTAAATAGAAAAATAATTGTAATCAAAGTTAAATAAATAAATTTGTAAAAAAGGATTATTGAGTAAACTGCACGCTTATTTTATGCAATTGATATACCTTTAATTACAATTTATAAGACTATAAAATTCATTTATTCGAAAAAAATCATTTTTATAATAGATAGTAATGTTAAAGGATTGAAATATTAAATAAATAGTTATTGTATTTAATTTCATTTTAATATAATTCATAGGTCACGGTAATCACGGAAATTGTATATACAATAAAAATTTTTTTGTATTTTTTAAGCTACTCATTCAAAACTGGTTTATATTTTAAAATGAATGCACTGCTTTACTTTTTTTTAAACCTTCACATATTTCTCTTATTTTTTATTTTATACTAAAAAAAATTTTTCATTTAAAATTTAAAAATATGTACACGGATACATAAGAATTTGATATTACTTAAGAATTTACCACTTCTAATGTAATTTATATTTATTAATAGAATACAAAAAAATATTACATTCATGATATTTAATAATGTTATGAAATATTTGTTAATAATAATATGTTTTTCATGATTTGTAATATAGTAAGCAATATTAACAGGATTAACAATTAGTGCAGTAGTAGTTAAAATAGAAATATTAATACTTGTAGTATTAGTATTATTATAGTTTATTTAACTATTCCAATTGTTTATTGTTTAATTAATGGAATACGGCTATAGAAGAAAGCTATAAAATCTATTAAATTTATCCTTCATATTCTATAAATATTTTTAAAAGATTTAGACGATAGTATATAAAAAAAAATTGTTCTATACTACAAAACTTAAATAATGCATATGATTTTCTTGATTAAGTATACTCTGATGACATTCGATATTATTATTATTGTTATTATTATTATTATTATTATTATTATTATTATTATTATTATTATATTAGTTTGGATACAACTTAAAGATTTTTCAATCAAGTAATATATTAGCAGTCATAGGTAAGTAAATATGAACTTGTATAAAATTATAGTCGATAAACGTTTTTCATAATAAAAACCGTATTTTAGGTCTTTGCATAGAATAGAAATAAGTGATTGTATTAGACTAAACTAAAGAAAATATAATTATATATAAAAATTGTATTGCATATTATACATAGTGAATAGAGGAAGAAAATCGGCTAAACGTTTATATTACATTAAAAATATATTTTAAATATTTATAATTGAAATTTACATGGTTTATTCAATAATTAAACATTGTATTTAACGTTAAATAGAGCTTTTCTAAAAGTCATTGAAAAATTGCTTATTTATGTATTTAAAATGACGAATGGTCACTAACATTAATATGAACGAAAAAGTTTATAAATAAATTGATATTTTCTAATTGTTCATGACTATAAAATTACCGTTAGTATTGCATACTTATCTTCAATCGAAAAACAATTTATTAAATTTCTTATCGCGGATACATTCTATTTGACAAGTACGTAGTATCTCAGAAGTAATAAAAACTTCATTTATGCAATATATAATATTGTAGGAGATTTTCAAAAGATAATTAAGAAACACAATAAAAATAAGTAACTAAGAAAGACTTTTCTGTATTTTTGGAGATTACCTTATGCCTTAAAATTTATTTTAATATTTTTTACATTTAAATACAATTATCATCATATAAAGATATAGTTTTATCATATTATAGCAGTGATAGTAAATAAATATAGCCATGTTAGTATAAAACTTTGCCATTGGCTTTATAAAATAATAATAAAAAATATATGTATACGATGTTAATTATTAGATTTCTAATATTTTTTTAAATCTAAGATGTACTTTGCGAATGAATATGTACATAATTAGCAGGGAGTTAAGCAAGCACATATTGTAAATATATAGACGTACAAGTTTATCAAAGTTAATAATGATTATCTAGTTTTAAATTAAAAAATATAATCTCTCTCTCTCTCTCTCTCTCTCTCTCTCTCTTTCCGTGTACGTGTGTATTTGAATGTAATTAAAAGTATATTGTTACTTTGTTATTGTTTAAAGATGCAAGTCTTTTAAATATCCAAGGAATATTGTTCAAGTCAATTAAAATATAAAGTTTGAGTATAAAACTTGAATAAGCAACATTCGGTTCTCACGGTTGATGAAAAAAGATTCTGTTTTAAATACCTCGACATCAGAAGGCACTTTAAATATTCAAGAAATCCACAACATCCGGTAAAAAATTGTCGATACATAAAGAAATATAATGTATCGGTGTAAGCATGAAAAGTAACACCGTAAACAGTCGAGGAGAAGATATTCCGAGGTTTTTGCCTTCTTTTCATTTTGTATTTTCTTTTTTCGGACTTGTCATTCGCCTTCGTCTGAAAGGTTCGAAGAAAGAAACAGAAGCTGACGAAAGAGAGACGTATGCAGAGAAAGAAAAAAGGAGCGACCGGGAGAAGCAGAAAGGATAATAATGTTTTTTCATCGACGCGTGTATTTTAAGTCTGGATGGAAGTCGGGAACGACAATAATCACTTGCTACACGCGTTGCACGCGGAGCTCTGTTACAAGGTCACGCGAGGGAAGAAGAAGTACACCAGAGTGCTTATGGTTTATCATACCCCTTATTCCAACCTCCGTTCAGTGGATCCTTTTTTTCTCATTTCACGTACCTCGCGTCCTTCTCTCTTTCGCTCGCGATCTCACAAATTTTTTTCCCTTACTCTCATCATCTGTGCTCCTGCTTGCAATATCAATGCTACGTGAAGGAAACCGGTTCTCGGAGAAGCCCTACGCAACGCGATGCCAAACGGCTGAAAAGTTATTGTTTCTCGCAAACAGCAGATAGAGGTGTATAGTCGGTGAAAGAGCAAGCAGCAAGGAGAGGGAGACAGAAAAACAGCGTCAAGGAGGTCGCGCGCGCGCGCGCTCAGGATCGATCATCAATTTCACAACTCGCGCCAAGATCGGCACTATCGGTACCGGCCCGAGCAGTGGCAGCAGTCAGCTCATGGATCTTGTAGCGATACTCGGCAACACCACGATAATCCGCACTTACGGAGTTGGAGGCAAGGTTCATCGGTACCGGAGAGAGTTGTACTTTTGGCGATTGGTCTTCCCTCGGCGCGTTGCTTCGAATTCTTAAGAGTTCCATTTTAGCGCATTAAACACGTTATTATTTTTAATACCGTTAGACGAGATTTTGCATTGACCTTAGTTGGAGATTCATTTGTATATAGTAAGTTCATTATTTGCTTTTAAACTGGGCATAACGTCATACCGTGATTTAATTAACATTTCTATTTTCGCGTAATTACCCCATGGAAACTTTACCGTTATAAGCAATAAATTATAATGTCAATAAAAATAACAATGTCAGTTTAATATTTTTCATATTATATAGTTACACAGTTCTTATGTTCTTATTGAAATACATAATTATATGTAATTATTATTATAAATAATGGGGCTGGTTATAAAATTATCAAAAAATTAATTATTAATTATTAATTTGATTGTAGTGTTTTTCCTCCGATGTTACTTCAGTTAATGTTAAATCAGCATCGACTCTATTAAATATTAATAATAATTGTACTTATAATTAATTAATCCTCGCTTAAATAATGCGAAAAAATTATGTATATGCAAACACGAGTGTAAGCACATTTTAATATAATTAAGATCATATGTATTACAAGATTTATATCATTTAAAAATCTGCTTTAAAAAATGACTTATTTAAATATAAAATTTTGTATTTAGATTTTAATTTACGTTATCTTAAATTTCTAATTGTTTTTATTGATCCATTAATTTTTTCAGTGTCACTACTAAATCTAGAAGAAGATTAATTATTAGTACAACAAATTTGATGAATTTATTAAAAATAATAATTTAGTTATAATGAATTTTTAGGGGACTAAGAAATACGCAAAAGTGATTACAAACATTTAATAAATTTGTTAACGAAACAATGAAGGGAAATATTATTTTAATAATTACAGGAATTATTGTAATAAATTCTTGCTGCGCTGTGAATTTACAAAGTATTTTACGATCGAAACGCGCTGGTAAGATATTTTAAATATATATTGCATTATTTTATGTATCCAATCGTAATTGCACTATTGTATGACTATCTTTGTTTTGCACCAAAAACATTATTTCTTTCCTTGTTGCAAAATATAATTTTAATATTATAATTAAAAATAACTCAAAGAATAATATTATTTGATAGAAATATTTTGTAATTATTATTTATTTTTTTAGAGTCTGATTTTATATTGCGAAGTTGTACAGCAAGTGCACAATTAACAAGAAAACACCGTACAAATGATGCTTCGCAGTTGACGGCAAAAAATTCAAATTTAACGAAATTTACTTCTCCATCTTTAGTATTAAGCAGTCAAAAGGTGAAGAATTCTAATGTTAATAAATACTTACGAAATGATTTAAGATTACAAACTAGATCAAAAGGTAGGCATTTAATCGACAAGAATACAACAGACACTCCACTAGGAACTGTTGATGTTAAAACTATTTATAAAGATATTCCAAGATTATTCAAAAAAAAAGATCCATTACCTGAATTAGATAGGAATAGTTCCGCTAGAAATTTGGATACTGACACTCCTATAATTGTTGTTCAATCTTTAAATCAATATTATATAAATTAAAATTGTCAGAATGTTTTTATATACAGTTTAATAAAAAAAAAAAAAATTATATAATGACAATCAAAATTACTACTAATTTGGAGCTCTTATATATAAAATATTTTTATAAATGTGAACTGGAGATAGACTCTGGTAACTTTTGAATTTCAGTCTGAAAATTATAAAATATTATATTAGATAAACAAAATCAAGTTTGAATATTATAATTCTCATTTAAAAGTGAAAATGATTAATACATTATTTTGTATTGTTATTGCATGAATATATAATAAAGTATGTTATTACTTTCACTGTATATAAATAGTTTTTAAAAATAAATATTGTATATAATTTACTTTTGTAACTTTCATTGCTACACCTTCTGGTAAATTCCTTTCAATGTATTCCAAAAATGTATCCGCAGTTGAACCAGTTAATTTTAAAAAGTTTATAAATCTAAAATATGTTCTCATTTCATATTGAACCCTATGTTTTTTGTGTACATGTTTCGATTTAAGAAGTGTCATTCGCTGATGTATGGGTTTATAAGGAACAGTTCTAAATTAACAGTAATAATAATAAATATCATAATATATTAATATTATACTGAAAAATCGCTAAATTGATAATACTTACATATTACCAACTTCAATACCCAAATGTTTCGCTGTTGTTAATGCAAAAATAGAATAGCTTTTAAGTACGGCTGGATCGTTTCCTCGTACTTCAAGTTCTATTTGCTTATATAATTTGTCAGGTGTTCCCTATAAAATAAAAAATAAATATGTATATATATAATTAATCTTTTACTTAATTTTGATATAATTAATGTATTTTTTTATATTTACGCTTTCCGCAGGTTTGAGTTCATCGATAACCGTTGAAAATGATTTAATACATAATTTATGTTCTCCCAACTGTTTAGAAGTGAAACTTGAAAGTCGATTGAGAACCTAATAATTAACAAAATCAGAAATGAATTTATTATTAAATATTACAAATTTTTTATAAAATTTATAAATAATTTCGGCATGATTCCTTAACCTCAATTAAAAAGTAAAAAAGTAAATTTTTACATTACCTTTGTGACAAACATTTTATTTTAAACATAGATCTACTTGAATATATTAATTATAATAATTAATTTGAAAACATATGGATTAATTTTATTTATACTATAAAAAGAGAAATTATGTAGCATTTAACATGTATTTTCTTTATCGATATAAAATCAGAATCAATGCTGAATATTTAAATTTTAAGGTTATTACCGACAGTGCTTAAGGTTACTAATGATAAAACAGGACAAAACTAAAATCAGTTAATTTTTATTTATTTAATTTTTACATTTTACATACAATCGCAAATCTTAAAAAGTAATGCATAGATGTAAAATAATGAAATAATCTTTAAATATTTTTAAATTTCATTAACATACTTCAATAAGACTTACAAAAATTCATTTGAAAAATACATATTATATTATGTATTATATATATTTAAAATACACAAATTTTGTAATTTTCATTACAATATAATTCATGAAAATAGAGTGAACAAATTCAACCAGCTTACATTTAAATTATCGCAGTAATGATAATTACTCAAACTAATGTAGATTCATAAAATAAAATGAATACAATTAATTCTCTCCAGCACTTAGCTACTTGGTAAAAAGTTTTAATACAATTCGAAATTATTTAGTGAGCTATATATAATATCTCAACGTCTATTATTCATGAATGAATTAAATGGTCTAGAAGGAAAATTAGAAAAATTCTGTTGTTGTGTCTGCCAATTATTTAACGAGTTTCCTAATAAAAGTCCTCCTAATCCCACTGATCCGCTGTTTCCTCCACCTCCCCCGCTGCTTCCGTTACCGCCACCGCTACTGCCACCGCCCCCGCCACCTTGCCAATTACCCTGAGATATCCAGTTTGAATTTCTATTATTTTGCTGTTGAGGTGTGTTTTGCCATACAAGTTTATTTGCATTATTTAAACCCATGTTCATATTCATATTTTTCATATTTAAATTCGAATTTTGAACGTTGGAGTTCATACCGCCTCCGCCACCGCCACTACTACCGCCATTACCGCCACCATCCAAATTATTTATAGGAAAATTTTGCTTGCTGATCCAATTGTCGTTCATCTTATCTCTTGACCAAGTGGATTGTTGACTCGATTGATTTGATTGACTATTCCAGCGTATATCTTTTTGCGAAGATGTTGGATGATCGTCACCCCATGGATCTCTAGCATCTTCTGGCAAATCACCCCAATCATCTTTATCATTTCTAAATGATTTTTCTGGTGGGTCCCATCTTGGCTCATGTCGTGATTCGTGTCTCGATTCGTGTCTTGTATCGTGTCTTGAATCGTGTCTTGATTCCTGTCTTGACTCATGCCTACCACTATCTCGCATTGAGGATTCTTTTTTTTGTACGTCCCAATTCGTCCCACTATTTGAGTTATTCGACGTGCTTTTCCAACGATTATTAGAATTACTTTGGGAAAGCATTTGATTTTTATTGTTCCAAGAACTTCCTCCGCTATTGTCCCATTTGTCATTATCTGAACGATATTTACCACTGCTGCTGAAAAACAGGAATATTTTTAAGTAGCAATTTTAATATTTACTCGCTCGCTATTGTCATACAATATTGTAAAAATGCATTCGACTTTGTTAAATTATTCAGTACATTAGAAAAATGAATGATATTATTAATATAGAATAAGGAACAATAAATAATTTATATAAAAAATTAAAAGAAAATATATAATTAAGCAAAAAAAAAAAAAAATATATATATATATATATATATGTCTTGCTAGAAAAGATTATTAAAGCTTCTCAGCTCACCTTTGATTCCAATTAGACGAGGAATTTTGTACACCTTGCCAAGATTTTTCCTTATCTTGATTTGAATGTCTTGACCACCCACTTTCAGTGATAGCACCTCTACTAGGTATATCCCATTCATCAGCGTAACGCCGAGATGCCGGTGATTTTTGTCTGCTGGACATCATACTTTGTCGTGGTGGAGATCCTCTATAATTATGCGGGGATGACGGTCGTCTTAACGGCGAATTATGTCTTCTAAGGGGAGAATTTTGACGTCCGCCACCTGACGAGTTTCTCGAGGAAGTGAAGTGCTGACGGAAACTTGGCGGTGAAGTTTTTCTTTGAGGGGAGAGGGGTCGTCGAGTTGGTGAAATAGGTCGACGTGGAGGAGATGATTGCCGAGGAGGTGATCGCAACATCATTCGTGAAGGAGGCGATCGTCGAGGTGGACTAGATCGACTCCATCTATCTTGGGAGTCGTTTGATCCATAAAGTGATTGTTTATTTCGGGTCCAGTGTTCTAAAAATTATTTTAATTTGACTTATAATACTATAGTATATTTTTAATAATAGAGTCTTAAATGCAAAATAATTCTTTTAATTGCTGTTATTAATCTTTTATTTTTGTTTTCTCAATATAGCATGTGATAAATTACTATAAATATTTTGATAAATTTTTTTTCTTATCATTAATAATATCTTATATATAATTTTAAAATATCAATAAATATTTACCTGATCCTTGATTGTCCTGTTTACGATAATTTCCTCCTTGAAAACGATTTGGACCAGTCTTTTGACAATGTATACTATTTGGCTTCTGATGCATTGACTGCGACATCTTCAGACGGTCTGATTTATTATTCATTGGGATAATTAAATTCGATTCTAATTGTTGCATATTGTCATATTTTTTACTTTTAACTGGAGCTGAGGATGGTCCTTCGAACTCTCTATTATTAGACGTTGTAATTATAATTTCTTTAGGCCCAGTTTCTTTCACGAGACGTCCTCTCATTGGATTGGTTTTAAATTGGTCGTCATCCATCCCACTCTCAGGTGGTGCTATTCGATCCCACACGGATCGAGGTGGTAATTGACTTTGCAATTTGTTTGTCTTTTCTATTGCGAGATTTAACATTTCTTGCAGCTTTTTCACTGTTTCAACGTCAACCGAAGTACCTACTACACCTGTAAGTTTCTCTTTAGCAGCATCGAGAAGCTTCTTTTGCTCTTGTACCTCTTGCGCTATAACAGTCGGTTCAACGCGATTACCAGAAAGTTTTTCTCGTAGGTCACCATGATCCATGTCACGTAATTTTTTATCATGCATCGGATTAGTACGAATGTTTGATCCTATAATATGTATTGACATTAATTCAATATTAAATTTTACGAATCTTTCAAACTTTATTTCATTGTTTCACTATCATTTATAAACGATTTATAAAATTACAAAAAATTCACTAAAATTTTAATAACAAATTCATACTTCATTTTGACACACTAATAATTTAATATTATGCTAATAAAAATATACTTTAAATTATGTTAAATATATAAATGAAGTAACAAATATAAATTTTAAGCATACTTTTCTGTAAAAATGAAAACAAATAATTATTACCTAACCAGGGCTTATCATACGGTTTGAATTTCTTTGGCCCAGGATGGTACGTTCCAGAATCATTGCCAGGGAATGGCCTTTTACCTTGAAATTTACTCATTGGATTAAAACTGGGATTAGGAAAGAATTTCTTTCCCGGAATAAAAGTAGTTTTGGCTTTAAAACTTTTCATGAATTTCAATGGTAAATTTTTTTTGTATGGTGGAATTGTGACTATTCCAGAGTTATATTTAAGGGCTGCGGCTTGTTTTGATTTGCTAATTAATCCAATAGGACTATTATTTATGTTTTCCATAGGTGATATTTTTAAAAGATTGCGCATTGTTCTACGTTCCATTGTCATCACTATTTCAAATCCATATCCCTTTGGCGTAGTATCCACAATACAGGCTTTAACAGGTATGAACGGATTCCCATATACGTCATCAGCTGGTTGAGTTAATTCTAGGATTGATCGGATAGCTTGTTTGGTTAAAGTAGTTATGATCACTATTCGGCCAAGTGCACTCATTTTTCTCAGTGCAGATATAACTTCAAGAGCTGCAAAATATTTGCTCAAATAACATTTCTTAAATGTAAATTTGTAAATAACAACATTTAATAAAATATATTATTTAAAAAAAAAAAAAAAAGCTTCCAAGACTTATCTACGTTAAGTTTTACTTACATCGACCAAAAGTATTATTAGTATTTATGACTGCTACTGCTTTGGAATTAGAAAGGGACTTTTCAATTTGACTCATAACGATTTTGGGTTTACCGGTTACAAATGTAGCATTTTTAATTCCATTTAATTCACAAGTAATTTCTGCTTCTACTATTTCTTTCTGTATATCTAGTCCAATAACCTTATGACATTTCTGGAATTATGAAAAACAAAATAACATTAGTTTTATTTAGAATAATAGACATCTATTAATTTATATATTCTTACAGAAGCTAGTAATAGACTTGTAAGTCCTGTGCCGCAACCAATTTCTATTACAGTGGTTTTCTTAGTAGGAACTAAATAATCCGCAACAACATCTGTCAAAACTTCAACACCTGCTAAATTAGCCCAGACATTTGTTTTTGGTGCTAATTGAACTTTTACTGAACCAATTGTATCATCAAGGGTCTCGGAACCCAATAAAAAAGTATTGTTTGTTTTGATGACATTATTTTCTCTATAAAAAATGTAAAATATATTAAGATTTAATTTTACAATATTTCATTTTTTAACCTTATATATTCCTTACTTTATGATAGTTTTACAATAAAGAGATTTTACATTGCAATCTTTTCCTGGTCCATTTTCAAAGAGATCTTTAATTTTATCCATTAATTCAGTACTAATATTTTTTCCAGTAATATGCATCATTAACTCCTCTCTGCGATTACAACGAAGTAGTATTGTCAATCCATCAAGATTTTTAATAAATGAATTTTGATTTTCATTCGACTTATCATTATCGACTTCCAATTTGTCATTGACATCATGAATATCATTTATATCATTGATATCATTAATATCATTGATATCATTCATATCATTGACATCATTAATATTGCTGATATCATTGATATCATTAGTATCATTTATATCATTAATATCGCTTTTTTCTTTTTCTTCCAATTCACTTTCCTTTTCAACTTTATCTTCAGATTTTTCTTCTTGTATTTCCTTGATTTCTTCATCATTCTGTAATTGTTCTAACGACTGAAGGAATTCTTCAAATACCTGTAAAAATAATTTTTGTTTAAATCAGAAAATTTAAATTAAAAATAAATTGACATTGCTCGTTCTTTAATTAATCGTATCTTAAAAATGTATGAACAAAAATTAACATGTGAAAGATTTTAAAAAGCAAAATCAATTTGAATTTTCGTAAATGGATGTTGAAAATTTCGCGATATTGATATTTGAAATTAACAATTCTTACTAAATAAAAGATTATTCACGACGGATGTAAAGAATGAAATTTAAGAAATAATATTTTCTCAGCATTTGATATAATACTACAAATATAATAAAATGTTAACCTTGTCCAACGTAAGTATTAGCCAATAACGAAAATATAATAAATTTGTTACCAACGATGTCAATTTTATTTTTATTTCTACTAGTAGTAATGAACTTGTTCCATTGATCCATTTCAGTTTTTACTTTGAATCAAGTAAAACTTATCTTGTTTACACTTATATGCGTCATTGTTATGAGGATATATATTATTTATTTAGATCTATGCAAGGGACAGATGGAGTTATATCTCTTCTTTATTTGCAATATTCATCTGAAATACGTTTTATTCTTCATAATTCTTTTATTAAATATTTATAACGATCAGGGTTCTTAGTAATGAAGAATATGTGGATAAAATTATTTATTAAATATATCTAGAAATGCTAATGTAGCATTCGCTAGGACTTAATCTAATAATTCGTTTTATAGTGAAACGAATGGTGTTCGATTTTCTCATTATTGTTTGTTCTAGCACGACGAATAAGATATTATTTTCTTCCATTATTTAAGCTGGGCTTTTTCTGTATTCTAGTTAGAGTAATCTAGTAGAATATAGTTGAATATTACTTACTACTCTAATATTTATTAGAGTCCAAGATTTATTTTCAACAAGTTCGCAATGAAAACGATGAAATTCTTTTTTAGAATCTTCATTCCTTATGGATCCAATTCTTGCGTAATTTTAGAAAATCTTTAATAGATAGCATCAATATAGCAAATATCATAAAATTTGCAACACCATTACAATCTCATTGAATTTAATTATGAAGCTTCTAATGTTGTTCACGTTGTTCGGTTACACTTATTTTCACATCTGTTCTTGTTATATCATAATAATTATCCTTTGTTGATTAATCTTCAGTTTTAGAATATGTTAAACTAATTTTACTTTTATAAAGATAATACTAAGATATGATTGCTCAACAATATTGAGCATGTTTCTCAGTTTCTTTTATTATCTTTAAAAAAAAAAAAAAATATATATATGTATATATATATATATATATATATATACATATTATACAACAAATAAATAGCATTGTTCCATCCATCCCTTGCTTGTTTATATTTTTTACATTAATTTTTTTTTTTTTAATTGCGTTGATTTATCAAAAGCTGATATACCTTTACAACGCGCATTACAAAAGGTGGGTATTCTTCAGTATTTTCCAAATTAGCATCTGGAACACCAGGAATCATTTGCCAGCTTGTCTGAACATTCTTGTTATCAGATGAATTGTCAGCTTCTTTTTCCTCCTCCTTTGAAGACTGTTGATTATGCTTTTTGTTGCCTAAACATGTCACACAAAATTCATCACTTTCAACCTTCACAATTTTTATTAAAGATATAAAGAAATAATACCCTGATACTATAAAACATGATGTACTAAAACACGGAAAAGATAATAAATACATACTTTACATTTATATCTGCTAAGAACGAAACATTATATTTACTTAAATGTTTGCAAATACATTTTTCTACTTCTGTTCCTTACTAATTAAAAGTAAGAATTTATTATTTGCCTGTGTTAAAATATTGTAACTAAAATTTAATACATTTTACATTATCCTAAGAATAATGAATTCCAATATTTCGATGTTGATGTTTAAAATATTTATTCCAATCATTGGTTTCATTAAACTGTAATATTCAAACAGTTTATAGTAATTCCATATGATTGTTTAAGTCAATTTGCAATTGTTATTTTTGAGAATCGCAAATGCACAGCATTGCGTTTCAAATTGTTGCATAAAGCAGCCAAAAAAATTCATTTCTAATTCCAGACGGAAATAGAAGTTTTTTTTTGTATAAATATATTTTTATCTAATTTTAAAAACAATCAACATGATTGTTTTGTTGTAGCATATTAAAAAGTTTACGAACAACTTTGAAATTTTTTTCCATCCTTAATTAAAAAAGGATTAAAGCTCTCAAAGTACAGCTTTTAAAAATAAGCTTTATCACCGCATTGTTGAAATAAATCTTCTGGGGATGTAGTTAACCTATCTTTAAGATTTTTCAAAACACTCATACAACACACTTTATTAAGAGAACAAAAAAACAGCTTTAAAAACTATACTAACAACTTTTTGAACCTTCGTATTGACGTATTTTACTTATATTTAATTATATTAGTTGCTAAAATGCAGACTAAATAGTCAGCTCTACTATTTTCATACTTACATATAAATTTCCAACGATTTGGATGTAATTGATCTAAAGGACTATGTTTCGAAGATTCCATTTTACATATTGCTGTTCCATATAATGATTCATTCCTATCTAACCATTTTTTGTACAATGGATATGAATATTGAATAATTTTAGCTAACTTTGTAAATCTTTCTTCAACTGAGTTTTCTTTAGCCTTAATCTATAAAAAAAATAATCAATTATGTCATGTTTTATAACATAAATTATTCGAGTTATGGATAAACACGATGGTATCTTACTTTTTCTTTATACCACATTTCACTTTCTTTAAATTCTTCTTCGTCAATTTTCAATTTTGGTAATTTTATATTACTGTCACTATCATCCCAATTTTCATCTTCATTATCTTCATTATCTTCGTTAAATTCATTGTCTTCATTGTCTTCGTTGTCTTCCATCTCTTCATTATCTTCAATGTCTTCGGTATCTTCCGTGTTTTCACTTTTTTTTTCATCTTTAAGTTCATCTTTATCTATATCCTCAATTTCATTTTTAATTATAAAATTGTCGGAAGTTACATCAGTGCTTTCAATTTCATCAAAATGTATCATGATTTCTTCATCAGTCAAATCGTTTTTTAAGAATGCCGGTGTCTTACTTTGACTAATTTGCTCGCTTCTTTCTTTCTGCTTTTGAGAAATTGGACTTAGCATATTATCATCTTCTTGCGCAGTTTCATCATTCTTTTCCTTGTCAGAATAATCAATTTTTTGTACTGACTTTTTAATAGATGGAATTTGAATATTCATTGTCTTAGATCTTGGTCCTGGCTTTTTTCTTGGTGTTATAGCATCTGCATCATCTGCAGCCTTTTCTAAATTAATAAGCATTTTTTTAATTTGAACTGTTGGTTCATTCTTTTTATTGATTAACTTTGACTTGCGTGGATGTTCTTCTATGTCATCTTCCATATTTTCAGAAAAGTCTTTGGCAACACTCTCCAAAAATTCATTTTCTGCAACATCTATGGAAACATCTAAAATATTATCCCCATTATCTCCACTATTTTCATCTATATTTATATCATCTCTATCTCTGTCCGAGATACTTTCTAGTCTTTGTTTACGACTCTCATTATTATCTTCATTTTCATCGTATTCTTCTACTTCAGAACCTTCATAACTTCGGTCTTGGTCTTGATCTTGATCTTCATTTTCATCTTCACCAACACACTCATCCAAAACCTCAAAGTCACCCACATCCAACATTGGAATATCAGGTTCATCTGGTAGGGTAATTTAGACATTATAAAAAGAGTAAAAGATATATAGTGTAAATTTGAGATAGTTACGGAAAAGAGAATCCGTAGACAGAATAAGACAGAGAGCGAGAGAGAGAGAGAGAGAGAGAGAGAGACATAGGTTAAAGAAAATGAGAATGCAAAGAAGCGAGAGTGAGAGATATTTAGCAAGCGGGCGAGTGAGAGAGATGGAAAAACCGTGAGCAGGAAAGAGAAACAGAGGGAACGAATGAGAAATAACTACTTTCAATAATTTAGAAATGATTTAATAAAAGGAAAAATCGAACGAAAGATTTATTAATATATTAATCAATATTTTGAAAATTAACATGATCGGCTATGATTGCATATAAATAATACTTAATGTAATTAGACTTTCATCTCTAAATAATCAACTATTACTTACCCATTTTTTAACGGTCTAAATATTCCTTCAAATACTTGAAATTTGGAGAAAACGCTTGCAACGCTATATTTTGTTAACTGGTTACGAATGCTCCACAGCCACAAATACTGATCATCGACGACCAAAATTATGTTAAAGCTTTCGTCGTCAGATGCTGTTTCTCCTTTTCCATGCACGTTACGCCATAACATCGACTGACGAAGGGACCAGACCGGAATTACTTAACTACGTTAGTCAAAATATTGATTATATCAATTGCAGCTTTCTTCAATGCATACTATGCATAGATTATACTTGATTTTTCATGCTGCATATCCTAGGAAGCCATTGCGATAAAAAAATTGTATATAGTAACATTAGCTTACATATTCAACTTCATCCAGTGATGTTTATATGACTCACGTAGGATTCTTGATTAGAGGGGCTGCCAGGTTGCATCAACCACTGCCATTTTATGATTTTAAAATTGAAAGTATTGATTCGCTATAGTTTTTAAAAAATTAAAAATCTTTTTTTAACAAAACTTTAAATAATATATACGTTCGGATTAAAATAAGCTTTAATAAAAAGATTGAATTTTCACATATTTCACATATTTTTATTTTATATTAATGTTCAGTCATCGATTATTGGGTTATTAATAATTGATAACTTATAGATGCATTCAATAAAATTAACGTATGTAATTAATTATTATTACGCACACGCGCGCGCGCGCGCGCGCACACACACACATGTATATTATTTCTTATAATCATTTTAAGAAATGAAGATGTACAGTATTTTGACAAAATGACGAATAAATTTGAAAATAGTAATTGAACAATAAAAATTGAATTTTTATTATATATCTAAAGTTCCTTTAAAATTAATTAAAAAAATTAATTAAAAACAGACATTCAAACGTACTTTTATTATTATTTCTATTTATTATTATTACATTACAGAAACGAGTCATAACAATTTAATTGATAATCATAAATTATTTTTTATTTGAGCAGTTATACTTATATAGTTTTCATAATAACACAACATTAAATAACTATTTTTGAACATTAACATTGCGCTTAAAAATATTTTTATATATGTCCATATACAGATAACATTCTAAATAGTATGTATTAAGTGATTTACCAAATTAATTTAAACTAATCCTTTTATTTAAAAATTTTTTTAAAATGTTCAAATGATTTCTGGTTATTTTAATTTATTTCTTAGTGGTACCGCTCATTTTTCTTATTATCATTGAAGTAAAAATTAAAGTACAATAATATTAATTCAAAAAGTTTTTGTTACATAAAAAATTATTATACATATTATATTAATATATT